TATAAGTAAACATCAATGCCCATCAACATACCAGCTTATTCTTCACGTTCAACACACTCACCGGACCATTTCTCAGCTACCTTACCTACATCACCCAAAGTGACAGCAACATATTATTATTATTATTATTTTTATTATTATTCCTACCCCGCTATACCTATCTAACAGGCTCAGCGGGGTAGGAATAGTAATAATAATAATATGTTGCTGTCACTTTTGGTGATGTAGGTAAGGTAGCTGAGAAATGGTCCGGTGAGTGTGTTGAACGTGAAGTGGCAGCAACATAAACCAGACTTCAACTATCTATTCTGTACACAGTCAAAGATGTGCATGTGGGCGCCAGGAGAGGGGCGGCGCCCTGACATCACTGTCTTCTTCTGACATGTAAGTTTGGCGTGAACAATGCAAGCAGTACTGGCGGAAGATGGAGCCGAGCTGGGCACCCCTATAAGTCATGATGTTGACATGATGTTGTGGGCATTGATCTTCGCCTCGCTCGCGCCAAACTCATAAGTCAAGAGACAGACCGCAATGTCAGAGAAGATCCCTTCTTCGTAAGGCTCCCTTCTAGGCAGCTCCCCTGGGCCTTACAACAGGGCAATAGTGTGGATATCACAATCTTGATAGTGGCCCCTGAATGCCAATGAAGCTCAAGCCAACGGGTAATCCTGTGGCCGCGACGCTGGCAGGATGTACATACCCTTGGAGGAATATGTACTAGTAGCCATCCATGAAGATTGGAAGATTAAGGTAGATCCATTTGATTCATGCCCACTTGTCCAGCAAAAACCCAACCCGATGCTACCTAAAATCGTTTATATCCAAAGGATCCAGGTATCCAAGACAAGTATATCTGAGGAGTCGCTCGCACTTACCTCTCCAACCTCTGCCGACTCAGTTGCACCGCAACATCAGCAGTGGCACCGTCAATCCAGTCATTCATCATAACAACCAGCTGATCCAGCTCACACGTCCGCAGCACGTTATCCCTGCACCAAGGCAGCGTCTTTGAATCGCATATCCCCTTGGTCGCCAGCAGACAGCTCGTCGTAACTCCCGCTTCCAGAACAGAAATGACTACAGCCCGCGGGATATTCGACGCCGTCGCCTGACACTGGATATTCACAAAGGCCTTGCCTCGCTGATTGTCAGGCGTCAGCACCCTGGGGAAAGCCTCAACAATGCTGTCACCATTAAGCGTCGCGTTGCCCTCGTCCGTGTACGTCGACAGCGAGTCGACCATGTCGAGCATGATCAACCTCTTCCGCTCCCGGCGCAGCTCAGCAATGCTCATACGCTTCATGTCGTCCAAATTCCCCGCCACTATCTCCCCGTTGCCCTCCCGTAGCGCCGTCTCCAGATACTCGCGCTTCTCGTCGTCCGAGGGCCGCTTGCAATCCTCCACCACGCCGTCCCACCGCAGCTGCACCACAACGATCTCGGTGGGGTGCTCCCGCAAGAAAGTGATCACTTCGCGCAGAAAGGCGTCGTACGCCATGCCCGGGATGGCGGCGTGCTGGAAGTAGAGGCGGTCCGGCAGCGCGCCCGTGGGGACGAGTGCGTTGTGCAGGTGCGCGGGGCGGAACTCAAAGTAGCGCGCGCCGATGCGCAGCATGGCGTCGAGGCTGTCCTTTTGCGTGATGGCCAGGCTGAAGATGATGTTGGGCGCGATGAGCGCGATGGCCCGCCCGGACAGGGCGTCCGCGATCTGTGTGAGCAGCTTGTTGTCGTCGATCATGGTCCCCACGACGGCGCCCCCAACACGCTGCAGGAGAGCCTCGCTGCTCTGCATGCTGTTCATGCCGACGTCGTGCGCCGAGGGGAGGACCAGCCTGGTGAATGGTCTGTTCTCGAGATCTGAGCCCGGCGGGGCTACGTTGCCGATCCAGTTGGAGTAGTTGGGCGTGACGGTGATGTAGCATTGGTGCCGGTTGGGCAGGATATCATGCCCCCTGCCAGCCTCGTACAGACCGTAACAGACGATGAGGTCGTCGCCGTGGAAGATGGACGGGGTGTTGGCGATGGACTCCATGGTGCCGCCGCTGGCGTTGCCCGTGATAGCGTTGACATCGATCCATTGCTCCGTGATCAGGTTTCCGTCCCGGAAAACCTTGAAGGTGAAGCGCCCCCTCTTGTCGAACAGGCTGTCTATGGCGAAGGCCTCCACCTCCATGGTGCCGTTCCAGAAGCGGTTCAGCTCATTGACGTTGATGGTCTGCTCGGGCACCGACAGCTCAATCGAGCAGCCGGGCACGGCGATGTAGGTGAACACATGCACTCCCTTGCTGGGCATTATGATGTCTCTGTCAACCTCAAGGTAGTTCTGGAACTTGGGAGATGCGATGGTGTGAGAAAGGACTCAAGGAAGCCATCGCTCTTATTCAATTGGACCGAACAAGCGCCTTAAGACGGCCGACTTGGGCGGAGGCCTGAAACCAACAGCGGCGGCATTTGGCGCTGCCCCGCCACGAAGTTTCAGCTGCCTTGACAGGAATCCAAGTGGAATCCATCGTTGCCAGTCCGTAGATCGGCGGTAGGCGGGGGATGTGGAGAGCTGAAAGGCCTGCCAAGCAGTCGAAAAGCGGCACCAAGCTTTGACCTCAAGATGGCAGTCTCAGTCTCTCAGAGAGTTCAAGTGAGTAGCCAGAATGTTAACGTCCGATCTGATTAACTGGCAACCTCCAAATCGGGATTGTAGGTTGGGGTGTACGGTACCTTCAATCAGTTAGGCCCAATTAGTATCCGAAGATAGTATGTGCCAGAGTCTGGTCTCTCCAATATGTCAATCATTCACCTCGGCCATTTCGTGTCATGCTCACCCGAGAACTACGGAGTACCTCAGGTACGGAGTATTCTGCCATCTCTTTTAGCGCAGGGAGGCCCAGTCGACAACCACTCCTTCAAGTCAGATAGAACTTGTAGGTTCGTAACTCGCCCGATAGGGTGCATAGAGACTCGGCCACTGGAATGTGACCCTGCGGCATATTGCTGGCGGTATGCGTATTAGGTATGTCTGCTATGCACGTGGGGATTGCGTTGGCTGGATGGCTGGCCGGTAACTGAGGTGATGCACAATTGGACCCATCCGAATAGAGCTGTATTTCTGTTTGTGGTATACCGCGCTTAAAGCTCCCCTTTAGGAGGAGACGAGATCTTGGGTGACTGCTGGACGAGATGGGGCATATGATGAAGCGAACCGAGAAATACCGATGGCGACATCCATGCTATGCAGCTTAGAACTGTTGGGCTAGGATGCAGGTGCCTCAACGATCTTAATCACCACACAGACACGTCCGGATTAAGAGACAAGAGAAGATCATTATAGCACGCTAAGTTCAAACCATGCAAATGTGCTCGGCACAGCGCCCAAGAAGCCCACCAAGCCAGAGCCATGTACTTTCACGACTGAGTGGGAGAATAATCAACAACAAGCAAATCTATAATCCGAGCCCTATCTGATGCCATTCCTCCGAAATGACACCGTCGGCAGAGAAGTAGATATTAGAACATTGAAAACCTAGCCAGAAAAGCCAACGAGAACCTTGACCGTGGTCTTTCCAGCAGGAATGTTGAGCCCAATACCATCGAGATCCTCCATGCCCTTCGTGTAAGCGTTGTCGCCCTTGCCGCCGGGGTAGATGGTTGAGTCGACGCCGCCCTGCGACATGCGGCAGCCGGGAACATCCATGTCGTAAGCCTGAGCCACCAGAGAGGAGCAGTCGGCGCCAGACCATCCGTTGTTGCTGGTGTTGGCAAAGTCGAATTCAGCCCAGACACCAGCATATTGGCCGTACTTGGTAGTGGGGACCTCGTTCGGGGCAAAGGCGCAGACTCCCTGCGTGTTGGCGTCGGCAACCACAGTCTTGGTCTCGCCGGGCTTGAGCGTGAAGATCAGCGGGTTCTGGCCGTCAACCTTGAACATGCCCGTGAGCTGGCCGTCGGCGCCCATCTTGTTGGCGCAGATAACCTGGTATGGCTCGGATGCGACGTTGGTGTACTCCTGAACGTATTGATACTTGTCGGCGATATTGTTTGGTACCACCATCAGGTTGGAGTTCCAGGCGCAGCCGTTTGCGGTGCCTGTGTTGCCCGTGTACATGATCTGTGCGTATGTCGCGCGCTTCGACGAGGCGCCGCCACCACAGAAGGCGATGTATTCATTGGAGTCGGAGGTGCTTTCGGTGGCAGAGGTCTCAGTGGACTTCACAGACGGAGTGGACGCCGCGGGGGCAGGTGCCACCGTCGTCGAGGTTGCCTTGACGGTGGGACGGCTGTGGACATTCTTGACAAAAACGGGGCCGTCACGCTTAGTATGAAGGTTGCGATGAAGGTGCATATGACCCGATGGGTGGGCGGCCGCACCGAGTGCGCCGGCGAGGAGAAGGAAGTGCGGAAGCTGCATCTTGACGTTTTCGAGTTTTGTTCGTAGGTGTTACTGTAGGCGTGATTTGAATCTGCTGAAGCGAGCAATCGACGACTGCAATCGGGCAATCAAGTTGTCAGAGAAGGGATATCACGTTGATGAGCGCGATGCCAAAGGAGTGACTGGAGATACGAGATCTCGAAAGGAGTGGACGGAGGCGCGAAAATGCGTCGGTCGGTCGAAGCTTGAAGGAGGAAAGGAGAGGAGAGTTAAAATGAGCAGGGAGATGTTCTCTCCATCCCCTACGGAAATAGTGTGGTGCCGCCTTGGCCCATTTGCGGTAAGTTATCCCCTGTCCGGGCCCAGAGCGTCGATCTTCTCATCCAAGCTCCTGAATGGTTGTTGGGACCCGCAGTTACACGCTCATGCAGGTCCCCGACTGCTGCCATTGGTTGGACGATGGGGTTTCGGTGACATGTTTTCATTTTAATTAACCACGGCACTCCGTAACAGAACACCACACAACGTCAACACCTTGACCAACAAACCGGTTCAACGTGTTCTTGTGGAGCAGAGCCACGCAATGATATCAGGCCGGCGAAGCACAGCAGCGGATGTTGACGCAAAACGTGCCTTGATTTCGGCTTGTGGAGGAGGATAGGAACAGCATAGTCTTTCGGAGGGTCTTGTGTTGAAGGTATTGTATGTACCTCCGTACCGTACTGTAATGAGCCTAATCAACGCTAACGGTTGGTCTAGAACAGAAAAAATGAGATTAGACTGCATAACAGATATGCGCCTTATTCACCGCAAATCTTGTTAGGATCGTTTGATTGCAGCGTTGCGGGCCGTGGCTCGGCGTCTCGTCTGGCTCGGACCTTGCTCCTGTTCCATCAACCGCGGTGGTCTGAGTTGATTTCTGTAATCCTCGAAAATCAGACGTTAGCTTGAGCCGTCGTTGATGGGAGACTACAGATTGATGTAGGTGGTTATCATGCTCAGTTACGGATAGGTAATCGTAAGCAAAGTCACAACTAGAAAGATTAATCAAGATAATTCAATGCACCACCGGAATCAATGCTGAGAAACTGAGAAGCCCAGACGACTTGATCCACCTGCGAGTGCTGCAGTGTGCGACTGTGCGGCCCAAGCTCCGTGCCCCGCGGCGAGAACGCATTTTTGTCGTTTTGGTTTCCGAATCAGATGCAGAAAGAAACCTTGGGCAAACACACCACATCCAGCGTCCACTTGCGGAATCAAACGATAAATTCAGTTCTCTGCGATCCTCCGGAGTCTGGACACTAAGTACAGTACTGCCTGAAAAGGAGTATTGGAAACATCTGCATAGTTTGGAAAAAGCCCGGACAGTGCCCAACGCCCAACCAGCTTGAACGGCTACCTTCGAGCTTGGCGAGTAGCAAACCACCAACCGACCGATTCCACACACGTCATCCCATCCAATCCATTTCCGCGATGCCCCTAGATACATCAACCTACAACCTCGCGCTGCTCCGCGTGGACGGGCGGCGGTGGAATGAGCTGCGGCGCGTGCACGCCCAGATCCGAACCCAAGCGGCGGCCGACGGCTCCAGCTACCTTGAAATGGGCCACACCAAAGTCATGTGCGTAGTGACGGGGCCTAGCGAGCCCGGTCCGCGGCGCGGCGGCGGAGCTGGCGGAGGTGGTGGTGGCGGAGGCGGTGCGGGAGGACAGGCAAAGGAGGCCGAGGTAGTAGTGAGCATCGTGATCGCAGGCTTCAGCTCCGTGGACCGAAAGCGGCGGGGGAGGGGGGACAAGTAAGTCAAGGCCGAGTCAATCCCATTTACAAATCCCCGACGCAGAAACGGCGGTTATTGACCGCCAGACACAGGCGCACCCTCGAGATGCAATCGACCGTAGCCAACGCGCTCGCAGCGAGCCTGCACACACACCTGTTCCCGCACAGCCAGATCAACATTTCGCTGCACGTGCTGTCGCAGGACGGCTCGCTGCTTGCGGCGCTCATTAATGCCGCGACATTGGCATGTGTTGACGCCGGCATACCCATGACCGACTACGTCGCCGCGTGCACGGCCGGATCGACCTCGACCTACGCCGCCAACGACGAGGGCGCGGACCCGCTGCTCGACCTGAACCACCAGGAGGAGCAGGAACTGCCGGGCCTGACGGTTGCTACGCTGGGAGAGAGCGATCGCGTGGCTGTGCTGGTGTGCGAAAGCAGAGTGCAAGTCAGCCGGCTGGAGGGCATGCTGGCGGTCGGCGTGGACGGTTGTAAGCAAGTGAGGGCCATCTTGGACCGGGTCGTCCGGGAGAAGGGGCGTCAGATGATACGGGAGGGTACAGTGGCGAAGGGAGTAGGGCTGAATGACATGGACATGGACTAATGGGAGTTGCATGGCTGGAATGCTTGCTCACAAGATCACTCTGCCTACCGTGACACTCTTTCAGGTAAGAAAACCTGCCATTCACTACCTACACACTGAGACACCCACTCCATTCCTGCCTCATAACCATGGTCCAAAAACAGTTTTACTACGCCCAATGCATACCCCTGCTAATAAGCCAGAACAGTAAAATACACGAGGTGCCACGGCCGGCCGATCAGAGCTCGTCATGCTCCGCGGCAGTCTCTGGCTCCCCGGTGGGGTCAGTGCCCTTAGTTGACGTGGCCTCGGTGGAGTCCGCCGAGGACTCGGCACTATCAGCCTCAGGGGTAATCGGTGTCGCCTTCTCACTACTTGCAGACTCGGTAGCATCGGGAGTGGGCTCTGACGAGGCCTCTGGCGTCGCCTTTGACGCAGTGTCCTCGACGGAAATGGCAACAATGCCCTCGGGAAGCTTCTTCTTGACCCCTTCGCTCATACGGATCGCATCAATCCAGCTCTCAACGCTCTCGTGTCCAAAATCAGCGCCGTCGTAGTGTCGCCACCATCCACGCCGTGCATTGATGGCTACGATCTCGACGTCGCCGCTCAGATCGAGGGCTTTGAGGAGGGACGCTCCTCCCTCATTGCTCTTAGGAACCTCGTAGAACGGGAACAGATGACGCTTGCTTTGGGCGTGCTTGAACGCCAGCTGGGAAAGGCTCTCTAGGGCCTTCTTGGCCTTCTCATCCTCACTTGATGGAACAAAAGCCAGCACGCAGGTGTGCGACTTTTCGGTCAGGCACTCCTTGATCAACTTATCTGGCGTGTTGATGGCTGGAATCGGCAAAGCCGTCTCCACAATGACGGGCGCTTCCTGTGTCGCAGTTTCAGTTTTGGATTTGGCTGTCTCGGATGACGCCGTGGAAGAAGTTTTCTTGGACTGTGGCTTGGTCGACGACGACTTCTCGCCGTTTTTCTTCCCGGGCTTTGTATTAACCTTGGGTGAATCAGGATTTGGTTCCCCTGCCTGTGAGAGGAACTTGACCATAGCTTCTTTCTTCATCTCTCCGTCATAGACAATACCCGGCGCATCGCCCCCAGGGAGGAGAAGCAAAGTAGGGAACTTGCTGATGCCGAAGGTCTCAACCGTCTTGGTCTCCTTGTTTCGCACCTGGCCAATTATAATCACATCGGAAAAGTCAATTGCGATACTCTTGAGGAGTGCCGATGTGGTGCCCTTCTCGGTAAAGAGGATCGCCTTGGCCGTCTCGTTCTTGTCGCTCAGGAACTTGTCCAAGGACTTGTCCTCAATCTTGACCACATAGTTATTGATCTGTTGTACGACGGCGTCGACAATGGCGCTCGCCGTCCGTTGGCCCTGGTAGTCCTGAACTATCGGCTTGCCTCCGCCCTTCTTCGGCCGGACGATTTTGAGTGTTGGGAAACCCTGGACGCCCATTGAACCACAGAAGGGCTTATTCGCATCATCGTCACAGTTTACCGCGGCTACCTTGGCCAGGCCTTCGAGGTTCTTGGCCGCCTTCTCGTACGCGGGTTTGAGGTTCTGGCAATGGCCACACCAAGGGGCGTAGAATTCGACGATCTGGGAGGGACGAGTCAGCGTAGAGTGTGGGGTTTACAGGTGGTTGGTTCTCTATCCGTACCGAAGTGTAGTTGCTTTTGGCAATCAGCCTGTCATAGTCCTTCGCATCCACTTGCAGAACTGGCGATTTCTTGGTGTAGAGGCCGGCCTGTGCCCCGGGGAGCGCAGCCAGAAGAGCAAGCGCTGCAGCGCAGAGAGTGGGGTGATGCATGATGGATGCCCGTGAAGGAAGCCAAGCTCAGGTGGGATATGTGCGGTGTGGATGATACCTGGGACAGAAAAACGATTGTTAAATCATCGAGTCAGTATGGAAGCCTTCCAATTATCATTATATGTCAGCCAGCCTAGGGGTAAGCACACATGATGGAAGAGGATTGTTCCAGGCTGGCCGGTTTCCGTCTTTGGCAAAAGAACACCTTTCCCAATGCCGGATGTACCCAAGAGTTATGAGGTGCCACAGAAGATCGAGAAACCGGCAGAAACATGCAAGCTCACGCCGCTAAGTGGCCAGAGCTCCATGCCCCTCGTGGACCAGTGGGGCTTTGAGTGGGGATCGCAGCTGCCGGCCCCGGCGAGCGTGCCTCGGAAGACCAACAAGGAACACCTGCCTGGATCAACCGAGAAGCAAGACCTAAGGTACTCATCTCGACCGACGATTGAATTTACTTCCAAAGTTCGCTTCGTATCTTATTCACTTTCACATTTCTGCAGTCTCATTTGGACACCATCCACCATGGCGGACAGCATTCCAGCTGCGCTGCGGCAGGCCGATATCAACATCTGGAAATGCGCAACCAAAGCCGCGCAGCTCCAGAATGTGAAGCCCATAATGGCCTATTGGTGTGCGTGACATATTGTTCGCTACTTGCCTCTGTCCTAGCCTCTGACAGTTACAGGCGAATATTGGACCGTGAACCAGATCCTGGCGAAGCAGTTGCACACAACAGACGAGGAGATCTTGCGCTACACAACCCATCTGATGGACAAGTTGGAACAGGTTCGCGTGCTACGCGGGCATCCCACTGTTGCATGATGCTGATCAGCCCACGGATAGACCAAGGCAGAGTATGCGAATGAAGATGCGATCATAGACGATACCGCTGGACAGGCGTATGTCGAGCAGTTCGCTCAGGAGACTCTCGACCGAGCTGAGCGGGTCGTGAAAGCGAACCGTGTCACACAGTAGGCTATGATAACCCCTTTTTTTGTTGTTGAACCACGCTAAGAGAACATTAGACAAACCGCAACGACCTTCGATGCTGCCGCAACGTTCTTCCATTTAGTAAATATCTGGGGCCCGGCGGATGCAGAGACGCAGCAGAAGATCAAGTATGCCAAGTGGAACGCAGCAAGAATCGTAAAGGCGATCAAAGAGGGCAAGGACCCGAACGAGTCAAATCCGAAACAGGAGGACCTTGCACCGCCTACACCGGAACCGAATGACGGGGCGGTTCAGAGTCAAAGCGGCGATCCATCGAATCTCATCCCGAGGAGAGCAACCGTGGAGGAGGTGCCCGACGCGGACCTCCGCAGAGACGCTGCCGGAGTGTCATTACCACCGAGCCCTATTTCTGGTGGTTCTTACCGTGGTCCTTCCCCAAAACCCGACGACGAGCTTCGGCTGCCAGGGGTTCCTACAGAACTTGGTCAGCCAGCGCAGCCGGCGTCATTTCATTCGTTGTCACAGTATCCAAGCGACTTCCAGCCAACGCCTAACCTCCCTAGCGCTCCGGCTAGCTGGACGCAATCGCAACCGAGTCCTGAGACGAGCCCTCCACCGACAGCATGGTCGCAGCCTCCCGTCGACCCACCTTCTGCCTCTGCGTGGCCTCATCACCAACCTTCACCCCCCTCTAACGTCCCTCCTACATTTTCAACGAATCTTCCATCAACCGCTGCGGTGGCGTCACCGCCTGTCAGTCCACCCATTGACTCTTATTACACGAATATGGCCCCAACAGCTTCTGCGCCAGGGCCCGCACGTCCTACAATAACTCCAGCAGAAAGCTATGCGCCTGTTGCGGCTGGGGGGCCTACGGTGGATGAGGCTGCGATGGTCGAGGCTCAGAAGCATGCCAAGTGGGCTATCTCAGCGCTCAACTTTGAAGATGTGCCTACTGCCATAAGAGAATTGCGCAGAGCGTTAGAGCTTTTGGGGGCGACATAGCCGGGTATGATACAAACGATGAACTACCAATGCAAGTTGGTAGTACAATGTGGGTTTCACAACTGTGAACCTTGATGCTTATGCCGATTATGCCGTCCCGAAATCACGCTGTAAAGAGTGCTTTGTGGGTTCTCAGGCTGAAGACTCCTGCATTTCTGACACCAACGAGCTGTCTCCATATTCTGTGAGCGTAGAGCAAAGAACACGAACAACAAAAGTTGGTTTGGAAATGTCACAGCCTTCTTCGTGGCGTGTTTGTGCAGTTCTCACGGTTGTAAAACCGGACACTCGATTTTCAACCCCTTCTCGCTTGCTAACTCACTGCACCTCCGCAACTGAGCTGCTTTGCAGCCAGTTAATGACAGGGACGAGCTTTCCCGATGCCCGCGAGGAGGGAGAACATCAGCAGAGAGCTTCGGGCCGAATTGTCAGGTTCGATTACTGCTTCGCTCTGCACACATCGGCTGTCGTTGAAAAATGGCCGAATCAATATTCACTCCAGGCCTACTACCACAGCTGGCATCGGACCTTCCTCGGGACAAGCCTGAGGGTGATTAACATGCAGCCTGGTAAATTTTCACTGACATGCCGTTTATCGGATTGGATTTGCCCGTCACTCAGCCGCACCAGACGGTGCCTAAGGTATTTAGACTCGGTGAAACAAGGGTGTTAAAGAGGAGCAAGTGAAACTACGAGAGAGCCTTGTGGGGGACCAAGGCTTCCGACTAACAGACCAAGTGTATTTGGGCATATAAGGAGTTAAGTTCCCATTCTTCCGTGCTGACCATACTACTCATAGCATATCCAGCTTGGCCAGAGAATTGTGTTGTCCTCCGCCGCATACGGTGATACTTATTATCACGATCACATTCGCCCAGCATCGCCACTGGCTTCCAGTCAACGAAGTAGGAGTAAGGGGACGCCCAAGTGAACTTAAGGTCCTACCCCAGCTATGTCCCAACCTTCCAATACAAGCAGTCATATCATGATTCTAATTCGTATAAGTAGGTAGGTAGCGAAGAACCCTTTTACTAATAGTTTCATTCTGATAATCGACGCCAGCATGGACGACAACGAGAGCAACTACTCTTACAGCAACTCGTCCTCGACCACATCAGACACTCTTAAAGGGGACTGGCGGACTCGAACCTACTCGCCACTACCTCCGCCTACCCTGCCTTCCCAGCCTAGCAGCGGGAGTCGTGGTCTATAGATCATGTCGGGACAAGTGATAAGATGGATAACAAAGAACGTCGAGGAGCTGTTGAACCAGCGCATGGGGTGGGATATTGCGACTCTCAACTGAAGCAGCGAGTTAGTTACCCGATGTATGGCCCTGTTCTTGCCATCAAGAATGGTTGGAGTCCAAGCTAGTGGCACGATGTACATTGCTTCAGCATAATCAACCGCAGGGGTCGAGGTCAGGGATAAGTCTTTTACTGGAAACCTTTGAGCGCTTTCAACACAACCTCCGTGGTTTTCTCGTTGTATGATATTGCCTGATCTCCAAGCCAGACTCAGTGATCATTGAAAAGAATGAAAGGAAAGTTGTAGCGGACTCGGTGCTCAGGTTGGAGAATCAAGAGAGCTTAGCAGTAGATCCAAATGCCATACATTGAGACGTCGGTATCACAGCTTGACCCGGCTTTTGAATGCCACAGTGCCACTCGGAGGTTGTAGAACACTGACACAGCGTTGAACTTCAAGTTTCCACTGCTTATAAGATCTTCAAACCCAACCCATACTGTAGCATGTCACATATGCCACAGTGGCTAAGGCATGGTCAGTAACAGGATCAAAAGCCCGGGTGATAGGGTTATCTCGATTCTCGACAATGAAGGTCATAGGTCCTTGACAACAGGCGGTGGACTTGATCCATTCATCTTGGATGCTATGAAAGGGAGTCTTGCGCCCTAAAAGACTGGTGGCAGTTTACACATGACCTTCTCGTGACTCCTCCGACTTAGCCTTGGGAAAGAGCCAAGAAAACTGACTGGAGTTGGTATCCTTTTGGTGACAAGTTGCCCCATAACTTGGACTTACTGCACCTACAAATTCTTCCAAAGAACCCAACTTCCTCGAATTGTTTTTGTTTCCTTTCGAATTTCACAACGCTTCGAAAGACCTACTTTATTTCTTCAACGCGTCGAGTCGCGAAACCTTCCTTACTTGCACACCCTCTTTCGAAAATCTTCCCTACTCGCATACACTCTTTCGAAACTAAATATCGACCAGCCTTTTCGCGTCTACCCATATATCATCGAACTTTCACGTATCGTATCGAGACAAACTCTCAGAGGTTCGCAAAATGTCGCGTCGAATTCTAGCAGCTTTGTCTGCTATCATGCTCTTTCTGTGTGGTGTTCAGAGCCACATGGTGATGAACACTCCTGTCCCGTACAATCTGGATATCGCGCCGCTTCTCCAGGTTGATCCCATCAGCGGCGGTAAGCACCCCTTCCCTTGCCATAACCACTACGGCTTCTCGTCGCGTACCCAGGTCGAGGCTGGCGGATTGACCCTCGTCAACTTCACTGGTGGTGGCCAGCATGGCGGCGGCTCGTGCCAGTTCAGCATCACCTACGATGAGCCGACCGGTGGAGGAGACTGGAACAAGTCAGCCAAATTTAAAACCATCTACAGCATCATCGGAGGCTGCCCGGCGGTATTCACCGATGAACGATTTAACCTCCCCGTGATCGGACAGGACAAGAACATGCGCCAGGACAGCAAGCATTGTGGTGACGACAAAGGCATTGACTGCATCCGACAGTTCATGATTCCCATTCCGAAGTTGTATGTAACTGTCCCTCATCATATCACAGATGAGGTTTCACTAACAGGGTAACAGCCTCAAGAACGGGCCTGCCACCTTTGCCTGGACTTGGTTCAACAAGATTGGAAACAGGGAGATGTACATGTAAGGAGCAAAGATTGCCGCAGGGTATCCCAGCGAATTTGGACTGACGACGACCTACTAACAGGAACTGTGCCCCGGTCGATATCACGGGCGGAACCGGCGATCAGAAGCTCATCGATGAGCTGCCTGACATCTTCATTGCCAACTACCCCGGCGACCTCGACGTGCCCAACTGCGTAACCGGTACAAGCGCGAACGAAGTCATTGTCAATTTCCCCAACCCAGGTAAATACGGCCGTGTCCTGGTGCCGCCTGTTGAGCCTGCGGTAAAGCCACCCAACTACTGCTCCCAGATTCCGCCTGCCTCGTCGCTGCCCACGTTCGTGGAGGACTCCGGTAGCGCCTCAAGCAGTGAGAGCACAGGCTCATCACTTTTCACAAGCTCTTCATTCAGCAGTACGGTCTCAAGAAGCGAGAGTGCAAGCTCATCCCTTCCTGCAAGCTCTTCGCCCAGCAGCACCGTCTCAAGCATCAAGAGCACGAGCTCGTCATCCGCTGATGCATGCTCTGACTCTCTTCTCACCAGCAGCTTGCCCCCAACGGCGGAGAGCGGTCGGCTCACCATCCGAACCAGTACCGTGACAGTAACCGTCACAAGTACCCTCTCGCAGTCCGGCCCCGGCTGCAGCGTCACGGAGACAATGAGCAGGGCCTCTGGATCCTTGGTGGTAGTCCCAGTCGTAGCCAACACGACAACAGGCGTGATCGCCAAAGAGACTATCAAAAGCACAGTCACTTCACAGGTCTATACAACAGCCACCACTCCATTCTCCCCCACTGGCCCGACTACGTCAACCTCAGCCACCATCTCCGTGTTTATCAGCTTCCCAACTCAAACCCCGCAGATCACCACCGGTCCCATGTCTGTGCCTAAGCCGAACGACAAGGCAATTCCCTGCTCAAACCATGGCCAGGTGATTTGCATTGGTGAGAGCCAGTTTGGCGTCTGCAACTGGGGCTGGGCAATTCCACAGGACCTGGCAAAGGGCACGCGCTGTGTCGATGGGAAGGTGATGCCCAAGAGGGATGATGGCGCCGGAGTGGCTCGCGGCGGTTGGTGGAGTCCTTTCACTGCCTGATGCCTGATGGAGGCCTTTACCCACGAGGAAGGATGTGGTTTGAGGTGAAGAGAAAGGCTGGATCGGGCGGTTGTCAGTGTCCTGATGTGTCCATACTGTACAGTTAAGATTAAGATCGTGCGCTGCTAGCTAGCTGTAGGTGTACTTGTTGCACAGCAGTGGTTGGAACCCTGGGAGGGGAAACCAGGCAGCCGCACAGAACCGAGAATGCTTTGTTTTATGCCTTGTGCTATTCATTATGGTGAACTGTGAACTACATGAGAAATCATCACTCGCCAGGCGAAAGGGAGCGGATGCTTTATGCTTTATCTTCAAAAGATCTAGTAGACCATCACTAAGCGAAGGTAAGTATCTCTCTGCAGCCGAACAAACGTAGCTTCAACATGCCGCAGCATCAGTAAAGCTCAACGATGTCGATGCCAAGGTCATGCCTTGCGTCTTTTCTCCAGGTCGGATGTGGATGGGGCCCAAACCACGGATCAGCGTCAGCACGGCGGTAAGGCCGGTATTTGATCATGCCGCGGTCCACCTCTTCAGAGCGTAGGTGTGAGTAAGGGGCCGGACCGGCAAGATCAATGCTGCGCAGATCCTCGAGAAGGGACTGGCGAGGGATGGTCTCCTCCCCTTCGTGGGTTGTAGCTGTAGACTGTGGTGAAGAAGGGCTGTCAAATCCAGCATCTGAGGCTGATTCGAGTTCAGCGTCAGACGGCCTCTGAGCAGCTTCTTCCTCAGAAGCCCTTTCAACAACCTCAGCTTCAGAAGCCCTTTGAGCAACTTCAGCCTCAGGAGCGCTTTCAACAGCTTCACCTTCAGGAGCCCTTTCAATAACTTCAACCTCAGATGGTTCATTCTTGGGTCCGTCTCCACTGGTGCTACGCTCCAAGCCAAGGAGATACCCATCCATCGGGCCTCGCAGCCCGCACTTCGTCAACAGCGTCAGCGACCCAGGATGGCTGCGCACAAACGGAATCCAAAACTGCGCGTCAACCACACGGGACACGTCGTGCTCCGTCAACCGCCACCTGCCTCCTCCGCTGCGCGTAACATCCTCCTCAAACCGGCGGAGCATCCACAGAATCATCTTCGCCAGCCCATGCACAGCCTTTACCACCGCCACGCCCGGGCGCTGCGCAGCCTCTAGCCAGAGAGCAGCAAACCTGTCCAGCAGCGCGGGCGGGTGCAGGACTTTAGCTGTCGTGCGCAACATCTCCCCGACCCAGCCTATGTACGGCTCAGCCAGTTGCGCAGGGCTGACGGTCCCCTTTTCTAGCCTCTCCCACTCCGCCTTGTCCGCTGTCACGCGAAGAATCATCCCTACCGTCACAGTACCATTACCACCACCAGCAGCAGGATTACTGCTATTACCAGTAGTACCACTGTCGTTGACGCTAACAGGCACGGCCAAGAACCAGGCATCACCCTCACCGGGACAAGGTGTAGCCCACCAGCCAAGCTTCTTTGCCCGCGTGACCATCGCGTCGCGATCGGCCGCCTCCGGGCAGAGGATGCTCACCTTCGAGGGCATGAGGTGGGCGATGCGAAGCCCCCAGACAACGAGCGCTGCGCGCCCGGCCACGACGTAGCGCGCGTGGGAGCCGCCGAGGGCGTGATCGAAGGCGTCAAGAAGGCGTTTGAGGATCTCAGGGGTGAGCGCCGTTGTGATGTGCGGCGACGACGGGGGACGGGTCGCTGTGGTGAGAGCTGGGTTGGTGCTGCTGCTCACTGTTTGGGCGGCGGCGGCGGCGGTGGTGGTGCTGGCCTGGACGTATGGGGCCGGGGGTTGTGGTTCGGGACCCGGGCCGATCACGCGCGCGCAGGGTGCGCGCGCGGGGCTTCTGAAGGGTTTTGGGTGAAGCCCAGATGGGGATGCCGGGTTAGGAGGAGCTTGTTGGGCTGTTGTTGCGGATGGAGAGCCGATGGGAGCGGCAGATCGCGAAGTGCGCCGGTCGCGACGAGGTTGCCCGACGGGACGCCTTGGGGGCACTCGAGTTAGTATGGCCGGAAGGGCCTCCCATCCCGGCCAGAGGCTGGCCATTGGGAGGCTGGGGCGAAGCTGAGAGTTAGCCTCTCGACCGCTTCCGTCCACTTGTGTCATCTCTTCGTGGAGTGGTTCTGGCTGGGGCTTGCCTGGGTCCCTCTGAGGTCTGTAGTGTCCGTTCGGATCCCCTTTTAGGGTTCTTCTCGAACCCCTTTGGAAACCCCACCTGTCTGACATGCCTGGCAAGTCACGGCGTGTAGTCCTTACAAGGCCCGCAAGATCCCCCATGGTGTAAGGAATAGTGCGTGCCGAATGGCATCATTGCATGGGAAGGGGCCTGTAAATATAGAGGATCAGCTTTTGAACAATCCAGCATCGCACCGGACAAGACATCCAGATGCAGATTATCCCGAGACAAGCACTTTGTAACCATTAGTGCTGTTGTATGCATTTTGGCACCCGCTGCAGACTAGCATCGGTGTTCGCAAGAACAAGAACAAAGGGGGAAACAAACAATGTCGACAGGCCACAGGCTCCGCTACTGACACGCCCATTGGGCTGCACTGAGAAACCCGTCTTTTGGTATTTCCGGTATGATTCCACGGCCTTGCCTAACGCCTAGTCATACAACGCCAAATCCAAATTCCTTCGAGCCAGAAGGTGTATCGGATTAGTTGTTACCTCAGAGCTCTTCCTCCTCTATATCCATCTGGTCACCGTTGGGTTGGCCATTAGCTCCCGTAGTCCCATCTTTTCGTGCCATGGTTGCCTCCTTGTCAATCATTTGCCTTGACACGGCAACAATATTGTCCTCGATCAGCTGTTGGCCGACATCTTCCAAGTGCTTCTTGGGGTCTAATTTGCCGACGTAGCGTGTCTTCAGTTGCTCCTTTGTCAACTCCGTTTCCTCCTTGACCCTCTTCTCATAACCCTCGGCGAGGCTGACCAAGCGCTCGAGGCGCTCCTTGGTCCGCTGGCCCTCAGTCCTGAAGTCCTCCATCTGCAGGGCCTCAGTCCACACATGCTTGTGAAGATTCATTAGCATGTTCTCCTCCAGCGCTGTCTTCCGGTAGTTGATGCCGATCGAGTAGTAGTGCCGGTTGAGGCCGTGAATAAGGGCCTGGATCGAGGGCTTGTTCAGGTGCCCAACGTTTGAGGTGCTCTGGCGCGGCTCCTGGCCCATCATGAGGGACTGAGGATTGATCAGACGAAACGCGTCAATGACGACCTTGCCCTTGACCGACTGGATGGGATCGACGACGACGGCGACGGCACGCGGTGTCAGTTGCTCGAAGCTCTGTTGGGTGTTGATGTCGACAGAAGACAGCCAGCAGCCGAAACCTGGATGGGAATGGTACCAACCGACGACGGACTCGGGTCTGCAATGCCAGTATCAGCACGAGTTCTAGCGCAAAGACCGTGATCACTTATAGCAGCTCTTCCTACCTGCCGGTTTGCCGTAGCATGTCCATCATCTTCATCTGGAAGACTGGGTCGACGGCTTCTACACTAACGCCTGTCCCGCTTTGGGGCATCGCAAAGACGTCCACAACGCGAACGGTAAAATCGTCGACAAACTCGCCGAGCATTAGACCCATGACTTCCATGGGCACACCGGCGCGACCGTGGCGGAGCATCTTGAGCAAGGCAAGTGACGAGATGTAGACGGTCTCTGAGTTGTCGATCAGATTTGTGTTGTCCTGGGCAAATTGTCTTGTCAACATATGGAATGCGCAGTAGTAGGGCAGCGCATACCGTCCCCGGGGCCGGACCTCCCAAGCTCAAGTTCCCGCCACCGAGTAAGCTTCTGAACCGGTCCATGGTGGTTTGCTAGGGCGAGGACTCTTTGTGTGAAATAAAAATCCTAAATGTACGTCGCTGAAAGGTATTATGTCGTGAACTTGCGTGCAAGATCAAAGATCGCTTGGCTGATGGGGAGGCACAGCAGTGTCTTGGTGGGTTAGATTGAGAGTTGGAGGTTTGGAGCTGATCGCCGTAGGTGCTGTCCGGAGCTAGCCAAGACCTGCCCTGTCCGTCAAGCTGCGGTTGACGAAAGCCTGGCAGCCTGCATTCTGATTACCTAAGCCACTCTCTGTGCTTGTGAGCTGGCCCACCAAACATCTGCCGGTACTCACCGCCTGCCCCACCAAACTTCCACACCCACCGATTCTACAAATTCTCAGCCTTGCATCCCGAGGTTCTTCCGAAGTTTCACCGACCCAGTCACCGACTGCCTCACTTTTGCCTCCATCACGTGCACCCAAGAGGCGACCATGGCTAATCCGGCTAGCGCAGCCTCTTCTGATGAGGCAAAGTCACTCACTGCCCAGGAGTGGTATTCCCTTCTCAAGTTACTTGCCAATCGCGCTTCGCGTCCTTCGCGTCCGAAGATCTACAATTCATTCGTTTCTGATCCCCCCAACGATTTCGCCAGGCGTCGCGATCGCCCTGGTCCCGATCAAGACAACAATTTTCCTCCTATTCCCGCAGCTTTGCGTCCCCCAGTCATCCAAAATACAATGCCCCAAATTGGACCGACCGACCTGTCGGGAGTCCACCGCTCCCGCCCGCTTTACCAGGTGCTCAACACCGAGAAGAAGAAGGTCGCCTACTTCTACGACTCGGACATTGGCAATTATGCCTACGTGACTGGTCACCCGATGAAACCGCATCGCATTCGCCTTGCTCACAGCTTGGTGATGAATTACGATGTCTACAAGTTTCTTGAGATTTACGTAAGTTGCTCCGTCTTCCTCGGGTTATCGGTTTTTGTTTTCTCGATTGTTCCAGTCGCTAAAATTTCTGGGTTGGAAAACAGCGCGCCAAGCCCGCTGTCATGGCCGAGATGACGCAGTTTCACACGGATGAATACATCGAGTTTTTGCAGAAAGTTACACCCGACAACATGGACTCCTTTATGAGAGAGCAGGGCAAGTACAACGTCGGTGACGACTGCCCCGTCTTTGACGGTCTTTTCGAGTTCTGCGGCATCAGTGCTGGTGGCAGCATGGAGGGCGCCGCCCGCCTCAACCGCAATAAATGCGACATTGCCATCAACTGGGCTGGCGGCCTTCATCATGCAAAGAAGAGCGAGGCTAGCGGTTTCTGCTATGTCAACGGTATGCCCCTCTTGTTTTCTGTTTCGTGGTTTGCGTCGCGCTAACTGGTTTGGCAGACATTGTTCTGGCCATTCTCGAGCTCCTGCGCTTCAAGAAGCGCGTGCTCTACATCGACATTGACGTCCACCACGGTGACGGAGTGGAGGAAGCCTTTTACACCACCGATCGTGTCATGACTGTTTCGTTCCACAAGTATGGCGAGTACTTCCCTGGTACCGGCGAACTCCGCGACATCGGAATCGGAAAGGGCAAGTACTATGCCGTCAACTTCCCGCTCCGTGACGGCATTGATGACGAGGCTTATGAGACCATCTTTGAGCCCGTCATTTCTGCTGTCATGCAGTACTACCAGCCTGAGGCCGTTGTCCTCCAGTGCGGTGGTGACAGTCTGTCTGGTGATCGTTTGGGCTGCTTCAATCTGAGCATGCGCGGCCATGCCAACTGCGTCAACTACGTCCGCAGCTTCAACCTGCCGACTCTGGTTCTTGGCGGTGGTGGCTACACCATGCGTAATGTTTCCCGCACTTGGGCCTACGAGACTGGTCGCTTGGTCGGTGTGGAGATGGATCGTGTCCTGCCGTACAACGAATATTACGAAGTAAGTGTCCCGCCGTGTCTGCTCATAACTGTCGACTCATACTGACAGCTGCTAGTACTATGGACCCGATTATGAACTTGATGTTCGCGCTTCGAATATGGAGAACGCGAACAGCTACGAGTATCTTGAGAAGATCAAGATTGCCGTCATCGAGAATCTGAAGAAAACGGCTCCCGTTCCATCGGTTCAGATGCAAGATGTCCCCCGCGAAGGTCTCGGCCTCTCCGACGAGCAGGAGGCTGAGCTCGACGACCTGGATGAGGACGATAACAAAGACGTGCGCATCACCCAACGCCAATGGGAGAAGCGCGTTGAGCGGCAAGATGAGTTCGAGGACTCCGATGACGAGGACATGGCTCGCGCCAACGGAATTTACAAAGCCAATGGCCGCTCCCGCCAGGAGACTAACCATGGCATTACCGGCAAGGACGATGACGCTATGGATGTCGATAGCGGCGTCGCCACCCCCGCTGATCCCGCTGCCGACACTGCGGCCGACAACGATGACACCATGATTGACGAGGCCCAGGCCGATACTACTGAAGCTGAGGCCGATACCGCTGCCTCTGCATTGACTGAGAAGCGTGATACGGGAGATAAGCCCAAGGTCGATGGTGACGGTGACCACGACATGAGTGAGGCTGCTCCTGAGGAGAAGAACACCGATGCGACCATCAAGACAGAGGAGGTCGAAGGCATCTCGGCCACCGAGCCGGAGCATAACACCTCTGTCGCAGATGGCGGCCTTGCCGCTGGCAACAACGAAAATGTTGAGGCCTTGAAGCGTGCTTCGGGTTCCCCGGAGGCAAGCGGCGCCGAGGCCAAGCTTGGTAAGGATGCTGCTCCCGCCACCGAGACCTCCGATAAGGATGGCACCGCTTCTGGCACCCAGGTTCGCGGTGATGCGACCAAGAACTAAGCCGCCTGCCTGCTTTGAGCCGACCGCCTGAACGGCCTTGGCTGCAGCAGTCGTGGTGCTGGCGTGTACAAAATCCGATGGGCGTTTTGCGATGGCGTTCGGGACAATGAGGACGGATAGGGCAGGTCTGAATTAGCATTGTTAGGAGTTCATGGACTGGCCGGCTTTCCGTGGGATTCTCTGGGCGTATCAGGCATGGGCGTATCAGGCATGGGCGTTAGGGACGTGAGGGTATAGGAATTGCTATAGCGCTCATAGCAAACAATGATATCCATGCCTTGACTGATACTTCGGTGAACCCTTAAGTTGCTTCTTTGTGACTTGGTCCATTCATCGAACACAAGAGTGATGATGATCGTCTACTTATCAGCACGAAGGGTTCGGATGAAGAGCCTGTACTTGTTGCTACATGAAAATGAACCATGGTAGGCACAAGGCAGATAGGTTCAAGGGAATCACGTACTGCACTTCACCGGGTATATAGTTCAAGTGCCCCTTCTTACTTTCACCCCCAACCGGGTAGTGGCGAAGTGGTAGTAGCAGGCAGTTTCCCTTCCTCGACCCAGCGGGGTCCTCGTTCGATTCCTTAGTTTGGGTTCCATTGCGATGGCGTTCAGGAGGACATTGGGTTTATGGGAACGGTCCGGACAAATATGCATTGTTATAGGCGTTAAGGACTGGCCTGTTGATGGATGATACCGGATGGTGGGCTTATGCGTTTGGGGTCGTGGATCTGTCTGCAGCGCCTCAAGCGATGAATGCTGCGGTTTAGTTAGATTCCTGGCCATGTGTGCCAGATGACACGGTGGTCTACCTTAGTTTAGACGTAAATCCGAGAAGTAACCAGTGATTGTGACGTCTCGTTGGTGGTGTGTCTGGTGTGAGGTAGAGTGTCTAGGTAGCAGAGTGAGCAGTAGCAGGCAGCTCCCCTTCCGCAACTCAATAGAGGCTACTGTTCGATTCCTCATACCGCTAATACTCAGCCGATTTGGAAATACGACGCTACTCCACTCAAGCCCGGCTTGCCCTTACTATTGGCCACATCGTGACGCTGCATCTCGCTTATCGTAGTAAGCTAGGACCCAAATCCTAAATCCTAACCCCGATTCTACGACTTTTCCCAGCCCCTCGTGTCTAGCCCACTTACGCCATTCAACCTCAATTGGACTGCGTTATTGAAGCTTCATTCGCCTGTCAAATGCGTCAAGATGCGCTAGGTAATTTAGGTGAGAGATGTCGTCTGTAATCAAACTTGGCTGACTGAACATGCCTGCGGCCCGTACTGACGTAAGCGACGTGCACGGTCATGATGTGGCCAATAGTAAGGCGTGCCGGGCTTGGATGGAGTAGTAGCGTCGTATTTCCAAATCGGCTGAGTATTAGCGGTATGAGTCCCGGATGCCGTTAAACATGGAGAATGCCAACAGCTAACTTCCAACATGGAGAATGCAAACAGCTGTGAATGGGTCGGCCCCATAAAGACTGTAATATGTGGTCCGCTGGAACAAGCGTTTCACCGAAAGGGTCAGGCCTATGTTGTCGTCGCAAAGCGGGAACGAAGGGAAGTGTGGAATAGGGTGGTGAGGGCGCACCAGAACAAGGACAGTAGAAGGTTTGAATAAGGTACCTAACTAGAGGAACACATTAAGAAGTAGTGTACATTTTTAGACTCTACAAGAGGATTATGATCGGTGATGGCGGCACGTCCCGCAAGTTCACGAGCTCACGCCTCGACTGCCTACGTACACATCACCCAAGATAAGCTAAGGGGTTCAAGGACGAATGATACTATTAAGTGTATGTATATAAACCGAGCTTTCGCTCACTTCGGGTATAAAATGCTTCGCTATTAAACCGGCCCATGACCCATGATGCAATAACCAACCGCTCTATGGAGTACTCCAAGTTCCGAACCAAAACCGCGGACGCCGCTAAATGCCCCCTTCCCGTCTAAGTCTAAAAGCTAAACAACCCACTCCTCCTCTTTCCAAAAGGATACACCAACAAAGCACTCAAACTCAGCCCCACCGAGATGTTAATGGCCACCTGGATCACACTCAACAGAACATTGAACGCCGTGGCATTCAGGTCCCCCGACATGCTCGTCGACGTGGCGGCTGGATGGGTCGCGTTTAGGTAGATGACCGTTCCATTCGCCAAGGTGGTCGCGTTCCGCGTGATCTGGTCCGCATTGCTCACTCCGCTCAGCAGCGACCCGCTCGCGGCCAAACCCGAGGGGACCTGGACGAAAATGGCGGGCAGCATCGCCGCCGCCGCAAGGCCATATCCAATCTTGCGCGCATGGCGTACGACGCCATTGGAGGACGATGGTCCCATTTCGAGGTCCCCTTCTTTGCTGGCCTCGGGCCCTCCGCCTCCGGGCCCAGTGACGGTTGCCTGTGAGTCGGCGCCCGAAGTATTGCTGTAATACGGCGACTCGTGGTACCGGACAGGGCGAGGCTTGCCCGTAAGACGCCATAGTCGGCGCTCAACGTGGCGTTCCCAGATGTCGAGACACCAATTCTGGGTGTAGCGGCCCAAACGAGAATAGAGATTGGCGAGGACACCGATGGTGAGGGCGCCGAGGGAACTGGAGATGGTCGAGTTGCCCTTGAAGAAGCGCGACGAAAAGTTGTTGACGACGAAACCGGCAAGAGAAACGAATACTTGCACTATCACGTGGCATTAGCATCCCCTGAGCGTAAAGAGTGAGCGTGTGTGAGACTCACCGGGAGTTTGCTTCCACTTTGCCTGGTTGATCGCACAAAGGCAAAGCGTGAAAGCGAGAACGAAGAAAATGTAGTAGTTCTCAGGCGGCCTCTTCGTGTACCAGCTATCGCCGACCGAGCAATGGATGGAACTGACAGCGTTTTCGTCCATGTACCCGTAAAGAATTGTCCCAATGGTAATGCCATAACCAAGGAAGAGGGTGTAGATGAGCGCGTAGACCATGCGGACCGAGCCTGATACCATCTGGTGGCTCTGAAGTTCTAGGCTCGCGCAGAGGACCATGTAACCTGGCAGGATCAAGGCAATGGACGCCTGGGCGAGAGCCGAGAAGCAAAAGAGCCTCCCGCCACGGATTGAGCCAAACACCCGAGCCAGGAAAGAGGTCGCGACCGCGGCGGTAATCTCAAAGACGTTTGCATAGAGCTCGTTGGACGGAGCCAGATAAAGCTGCAGGAAGCCTACCAGACAGCCCAGGATGAAGCATATGGGCATGTCAATGTAGCGGCCCTCGAAACCAAAAGGAGCAACCGCTGCCGAGGCGATGCCGTACAAGATAACGCGCAACCATACAGGGAACTTAGGCTTGCGTGATGTAACTTCGTTAAGACGCATTGTAGCCTCCTCGACGCCGATGCGGTCGTGAACCACCTCCTTGTAAATTTCGTGGACATCGCGTAGACGGCCAAAATCGAGGCCTTGGGTGGCGCGAACAATTCTCACCTCGGTGGTGTGCGTATTGCTGTCGTCAAATGAGATGATCATTGTGTCTGGGAGATACATGAACTGGCCCTCAATACCGAGGACACGCGCCGACATCCTCATGTAGGCCTCAAGCCGGTGGGTTGGTGCTCCGTATATCATCAGAGCATGACACAGTTTGAGTAGGTAGGCGTGTCGTTTAATGATCTCGGCAATGTGGATCTTGATGCGGTACTTGTCCAGTTTCTTCTTAGCCTTTTCCGCTTTCTTTGATCGTTCAGATCGCTCCTTTTCAAGCTTGACCTTCTCCAAAACAGCCTCGGAGATGTCCTTGGAGGACCCGGGGGCAGCAAACACGAAAGAAGACTCCAGGAGGCCCGAAAGGGTGCTGGAAGACTGCGTTCTCCAACCCCGCCGGCCCTTTTCCGGCTTCGGGGTTCCTGGCCTTGAGGGTGTCGGGGTGCTCAAGGGCGATCCGTTGGGCGTCCGTCCCGGAGTGCTCGGGGCGCTAGAGGTAAGGTATGCCGTGCTGCTACCCTCGCTGCCTGAGCCATAGAGCTTGAGCAATGTTCCCAGAATCCCTCCCTTGTACTTCTCTGGCCGTGGGACATATTCCAAATCATGGTCAACAGGGGTAGCCGCGCCAGACCGAGGCGGTGTGAAGGAGTGCAGGTGGGGGTCGTTTCGGTGAGCATGGCTCTCCACAAGGTTCTCGGCCTCCGCGTACGCCTTCCTGCGCGGTCTGAGAGTATTGGAACCTGCAGGTAAGGCAAGGTCTTGGGCTACGCTAGCTGTAGGGTCGCGAAGAAAAGAATCCCGCTCCAAGACTGATACGCTCTCAGAATCAAAGGAGGTTCTTCTTGATACAGGAACGGATGAGGTTCCTACAGAGTAAGCTAGCCTATCAGCGCGGTTTTTGGCCTCGATCTCGGATGGGAGAGGTTCTCCAAGCACGTCGGCGGGACTGAGGAGAACAGTTGGCTTCCTGAGCACCGGCCGTGGCTTGCTGGGGTGAACTGGACCAGCCTGCTGCGGATTGGTCTCCAGGATTTGTGCAAGCGCAGCAGTAAGCTCTTCCTTGTCAAAAGAATCTCGTTTCGTTGGTCCATCGTTGTTGATTAGGGGAGTGGAGCCGTCGCTGTGTGGTGAGGGATTGTAGGAGAAATAGTCCTGGGTGGCACTTTGTGCTTCGTCCGGGGTGAGAAACGACGAGCTGGTTAACGTCCCCAGATGGGATCCTCTGTCACTCGCAAACCCCACCTTCTTCTTCTCCTTTCCCTTGCTGCGCTGCAGGCCCTCTGAGCTACTCTGTGGCGAATCGTGTCGCTGTTCGCTAGTTGCAAGTCGGGGCGTGATCTGGTCTTCGGGTGCTTGCGGCGACGCCATCGGTGCGGCGAGACTGTCTAGTCTCTGTTCGGAGACGCGAAGACACAATTTGCGTTGACCAAGTTGCCAAATTAGGACCTGAGTTGTGCGGGCGTCAAGCGCCCGCCCGGATGCCAGGGGAGGGAGAGTCGAGGTTGAGCTTGTGGGGTTCTTGTGGTTCGATGTAGTTATGGACCTCGATAAAAGGGGCAAGCAAGATCGGAAGGAAAGGCGTCCGTCAACATGATTATGCACAATCAAGAGATAAAGAAGAGGAGGATGTCCAGAGAGGTGAGGGAGCGGCGAAGATCGGGGTCATTGGCAATCAGTGCGCAGGAATGTCGACACAGTCCAGAAGTCGGCAGCTCTTTGACATGGTGGATCCAAGATCTCTGATTGTGCCCCATGCTGTGGAGTGCTAAGCGTATCTAAGCGTATCTACACCAAATCTTGGCTTGGTCGCGCTTTCTTGGGGCCTTACACGTTGTAGATATGCGTAGCGTGATTTGTGGTTTTGCGGCCGTTGGATGGAAAGAGGTCAAAAAGGGGTCACTGCTGCCGTTGTTCCCGGATTAGCCTAACCTGCGCCCTCGTATCTTGCAAACAGTGCATTATCTTGCCGCCACTCCAGTGGGCCGTCAGTTTCGAGATTTTTCGCCCCATGTTACGACAAGGGAAGAAATCGCTCTCGACGGGCCGCACACGTCATATGCCAACCGAGCTCAGGACTTGCCCAACCGACGGCTGCGGGTCCCTCTGGCGCTCGATTGCATCAGCCATCGAATATCGGCTCGCTGATCCGGCACCATAGCAGCAGCTTCGGATCCGGTGTCTTGCTCAGTCGGAGCGGATAATAATCGCCATCGACGACAAATCCCGACGTTCTTGGTATCTGCGTAGACGAGGTTACTGTATTGCTCCTTCCAATGTCAGTCCAACTGGTATGTCGGCACTAGCAAGATCTACTGAACCGGAAGCCCACAACGGCACCCGGAGCGAACACGAGGGCGAGGCCAGCCAAGTCATTCGAGATGCGGCAGCTGCACTGCAAGTTGAACTGTGGTCGTTTGTTTCGACGCGGCTCTTTTTGTTCCCAGGAACAGGCAAGCGGAACCCTGCGCCACCCACAGGCACAGACGCTTGGCATCGGGAGCCCTGATGGCTGCAATGAAAATCCCGCGTCATCTTTTGAGTCACACATTGACTCGATGTTGCGATCCGCAGTGCCGGTTGTTGATGGGTGCCACCCAAAATTTTGACAACAACAATCACATGATATTTATCCTTCACATGCTAATCAAAATTCCCATCCCATTTCCATCCCATTTCCCATACACAGCGAGATGCCATTTTATGTCCAAAACAATTGGGCCTAGCTTCCTCAACCTGGACCATGTGAAGAGACGACGAAATTCGCATTGTCGTATCTTTCAGCCGAGCACAACACAGTACCGTCGTCCGTCCGCAGAGAAACCATAGTCGCTCCATCGATCCCAATGTTCTTTCCACGAGCCGTCGTCGCCGCAGCATCGACAAACCACATCTCCGAAAAGTTCGCAAAGGCAACCTGCTTGCCCGCATCGTAAAAGTCCTCGACGATCCACTCCGCGTCGACGCGGCATAGCTTCGGCCCGTTGGAGATGACGATGTTTACCGAATAGCCCCGTTGCGCGTTGGTGATGACACTGATCTGTTGTCAGTTCGAGACCGGACCGCCCCCATAAGAACTTGAACTCACACGGTTGCGCTCGACGAATCCGTGGCCGTGATGTTAACCGACATCCAGTCTCCCGGGTTGACGCGGAGCCCATCGATGGTGTACGCCGCCTCTGGATACCATTCCCACCACGCTGACGCACTTTGGCCGCCGTTGGAGTTGACCTGGTCTGTGTCTTAGTCATTTCTGTCGCAGGATGGACAATTTGCCTGTGAGATTGGTCCTCCCCCTTACAATTGTCGTCACGCCGGCTTGTAACAAAGCGGTCTTGCACTCGGCTCCGTCGATGCCCACCCATGCAGCAGCGAATTGCGGCGCCGGTATTTGAGGCCGCAGCCTCAGGTCCGGCGCGGTGAAGAAACTGAAGATGTTGGAGACCTCGTCTGACCCGGTCGAGTGCTGCGATGCGCCGCACCAGTTGGAACTGTAGCTGACGGGGTCTTTTCCCCTCCGCTCCTGGCCTGGGCTAAGTCCAGACGATGGACTTCTTCCGTGTGTCAAAGGCGGAATCGGCACAAACACGAGGTCTGACGCCTCCACCTCCTGGCCATCTTGCTCGACGGTCGCTGTGAAACTTAGTTTCGCACAGGCTGTTGATGCGATAAGAGAAACGACGAGTAATGAGCGGGCGGCGGACCACATCATGCTGTCGAGGAGTCTCGAATGCCGTGCGCTCAGTACATCATTCTAAATTCCGTGGCGAGGCTCGAGGCGTTACTTCTCGGTCGTAATGCGCGGGAATGCGAAAGTGCCGTCTAAATAAAAGGGAAAAATGTCCAAGCACCGGCCCCCAATCTACGGAAACCTCGCAGACTTCAAGTCCTGCCACTGAGGGTTTTGGCGGCCAACATGCACGATCCCCAAAAGCCTTCCTAACCCACTCTTCCAGGGATGGACTCGGAAATTCCCATGGTTATACCACATTCAGGACGCCAGTGATTGGACTCCGAGGTCTGCGAAGGGTAAGGTTCCTCTGACTGCCTGACAATGAGCAGTCAATAGTCCAAGATTTTTCGTGAGCTAGTGCAGGCGACGTCGTATTTCTACCACATACCCGGTCCCCCCTTCCCACCGTTTTGAGGAGCTCGGATCGCGGGTATTAAAATAAACGCAAGCAGTTACGGCGAGGGCGGGCCGCTTGTTGTCTCGGCGTTCCGGGTTTGGGCTGCTATAATGCCTATGATATATCCTCCGTTTTGCAGGGCTAATATAAAACAAGCACCATCGGCAGAAGAGCTATCTACTTTCGTGGTACGGCTAGCAACATTGGGATTCCGCCTCCCATTCTTGCGTCTTTGCTAGACCGCAGCTGCAAGTGGTGCAGAATGTGGGAAATTTCACACGCTGTCTTACCCATAATAGGTACCGCTTTGGCCTGGTGTGTTCAAACTCCAAAGCTTGGCTTTATAGCCATGCGGCAGATCTATCGAGGGGTTGACGTCCCAGCTGGGTCACGGTGAGTTCAGAGGTCCGGGCCGATTTCGACATGAAAGCGACGGACTCAGTACATGAACAATCGCTGGGCAGAGCAGCAGAGGTCCTACGATCATCCAAGTTGAAGGTCACCACTACCCTGTTGTCGTCTTCTTCAGCCTTGGCGATAGCAGGCAGGCGTGGCAGATTTGCAAGTCGATCCTTATTCAAAGCTTGCGTGTTCTAGGACCTGAATGCACTTTGTACTGCAGTATGTTGGCTACGGGAGTGGTATTGCTGCTAACAGTGACAAAGACAGTTGATGTCCTGAACTTGGAGTTTCAAAGACTCTTGCATATTGTGCTTTGAAGCGGTAAGACTGCTGTCACTGCCATGGAAATACTTTGTTTCCTTTCCTAGCTCGTTGACATCTGAATCTATGAATCAGTAACTGTTGGCGAGACCCGTCTCAGACTGAATTCTGCTTGCGTTTCTCATCACAACTGGAGGTTCCCAGGTATTACTCCTAGCATCCAGTGACATTCCGAGTTCTATGAGACTTACTCATACAGTCTGACTTTTCTGCCCTGTGAGCAGTGGATTTGACAAGACAGGATAGTTGTAGGTAGTAGCAACACTTGTAGTACTATCAAGCAAATCCGGGCTATATCTGTAACCTCATTGCAGGGCCTTAACACATGGTGCACCACTTACCTCCAGGTACGGTGTACCTACTCGCACACCGCCGGTCATGAGGCTAGGTCACTGGGGCCTGACATGAAGCACTATGGGGTTTTAACAAGCGCATAGCGTTGGACAAGCCAACCGTCCCCTAAGTGGCATCCGATGTTCTTGTTTCCACCGTAAAAGCTGAACGGGGCCCGGCCTTCGGACCAGTGTAACTAACCTAGGGGGTGTCGTGGTATTCATGTTCGCAGATGAAGACTGTGTAGCCTCTTGGATCTTGAAAAGTGTCGGTCTATTCCCGGAAAGGGGACAGATTACCTCACACCGAAAAGTCCGACGACCGAGACTAACCGGCAATCTTCCTTCCGGGCAAGCCAAGGTAATACAATACCTTGCCTAAGCAGGCACCGACATATAGGGACCTATGTTACACAGTCTACCTGTAGGCAGACGCTTTCTGGGCTCCACAGACAACGACTCTTCGCGGCCTAAGCAGATGCATCGAATGACTTCACACAGCCCGAATTTCGTGAACAAGGATAGGTAAGTAGGTAACCAAATTATATTGTCAACGATGTTATTTCCCCGTGGTATCTACCGGTAACTCCAACGCCATGATTGCAACCCAAAACTCCAAACCCGCCCAGTTTTAAATCAATGCTGCTGCCGAGATAGATGTAAGATCAGGCCATGACTCCCGCATGCCCGACTCCCGCATGCCCAACGTAAAAGTTCAGACCCCATTACGTAGCGTTCAACTTGAAATGTGCTTCAAATGCCGCCTGTACTTCTCCACAGCAATGTTCCTATCCCGCTCTTTCCACCTCAACCTCTGGTCCTCGTCAATGGTAATCGCATCGGCATCCAGCCCCGGAATCGTGCCCGGTGTCCTTGCAACCGGCACCGCCTGCTTCAGCAAGTCCTTCAACAGCCCCTTATTCGGAATATCAGACCACTTGGCCTCGTAAACAAGCCATTCCCCCAGGCTCTTCAGCTTGGCCGTGTGCCTCGGTTCAAGAGAGTGGCCGAGGCCGCAGCTCAACCTCGCCAGGCAACCCACCAGCATAACCCAAGTAATAGCCTCTGAAGCACTAGTCGAGCCCGGCGGCTGGCGGAACTCGACAGTTCCAAACCCATCGCCCTCGTTGAGGTTGACAAAGGACCAGCGGTAGGCGTCGTGCTGGAAATCCACGCCGTCATGTGCCTTGCCGAGGGCAACCCCTGTAGGCGAGACGGCGCTGCACCAGTTCATCCTGAGCCCGAGGCCCTCGATGGTGGTTTGCGCATCGATGCGCTCAAAGCACTGGGCCATGGACAGCTCACCAAAGTAGGCGTTGTGGCGGTTGCTTTTCGCCCACACGCTGCGGCGCCGGTAGGGGGGCACCAGCGCGTCCAGGCACCGCTCAAAGTACAGCGAGCTTTTGGCAAGCGCTTTGGCTTGTCCCAGCGTCCAGTAGCCCGAGGCGGGGACAACATGCACGTGGGTGAAGCATTGGTGCGATGTGGTGAGTTCGAAGTGCTCGTTGAGGGTGTGCATCAGCCGCCGAAGGCCTGATTGCCAGGCGTGTGGCCGGTGGGAGAAGCGGTAGAAGGGGGAGACCAGCTTGATGCCGAAGTGGTGGTCCTTGGGGCGGGAGGGGATGCACAGGTCCCTGGTAACGGTCCATTCCCGAGAGGATACTGATGAGATGGATGGGTCTGGGCCAGCAATGTGGTTGGGAATGCCGGCGCGGGTCAGCTGCTTGCTGAGCTCGACTTCGAGGGATGAGACGTTCTGATGGTCCACATGCCGGCTGCGGATGACGAGGCCGAGCTCAACACAGAAGCGGAAGTCTGGGGTCTCAACCCGGCTGGGTTCTTCTAGTTGTGAGCCCTGGTGATGGGCACTGGAACCAGTCCAGTGGTGGCCGTGGTAATCACGGGCCGTGATGTGGATGTACGGCATTGTCGTGGCTCCCGAGGTGAGATAGTGGTTGATGATGACTCAAGCACAGAAGCGCAGTGGTGAGGATCCCTCGGTGGGCGTAGGAGCAGGTGAAGGTTGAGGATGAAGTAGCGTCGATGGTGTGTGTGATATGCTGCCGGGCTGATGTTGTCCTACTCGCCGACGCTGTTGCTCAACTGCTCCTGAGATGTGGCATGATCCGATGATCAATTCCTGGGGCCTTGGGGCCCCTATATAGACGGAGGTCGTCCATGGTAGTCTCTAGGACATGTATCACTGTTCGATGTCGCGGCTCATGGACCCACAAAATTATGTTCTGCCTGGAAAGTGGAAACTTGCAGCAGAGCACCATGCACAAAAGAGGAAAAGAGGACAGCCTGCACAGAGGACAATGGGGAAGGCTGCCTCTGACAGGTCGAATGTTGTGTGGAAGTGGGGAGGAGTGGGGTGCCGGCAATGGCTCAGCCCGGCAAGGACTTTGATGCGTCTTACGGGAGGGATCCAGCTTTCTTGGAGGGTACGGTGTCGTTCATTGTGTGCATTGTGCGTCCGGACCAAGAGCAGTGGATGTCCTCAGGTGTCCTAGACCGGGTAGGGGTTTCGGCGGGTTCCGCAGGCAGCAGCAGCGAATGAGGGTGCACAACGCGATGCCGCGGGGAAATTCTGAGGGCCTCAGGTCTGGGGAAGCACGGTCCCCACCTGCTGCGCCTGCCTAAAATCTGCTTACCTTAAACTAACGGGGCTGCGAGGGTTATACTAGGCGGGTTAAGGTGGCGGCCAATCTCTCGAGGCCGCCAGGCGGCTATGGCTGTGCAGCCCGCAAATTGAGGGTCTAATGTATCTCCAACCCCAGCAATTCTCCGCGCCTCAGCCTCCATTTCGTGCATGAACACGGCATGCATTGGATGCAGACGCTCGATGTTGAATACTAGCGGACCCGACAGCTTGGAACTCATCTCCTGGTGGAAACGAAACTGCTTCATAAGACTCTCCGGCCTCCAATTTTAAACCTGGTCCCTTCAATAGACGCGCGACTGCCATGGTGGATCAGAGCAGAGCGTTCGTACGGGCCATCCACGAACAAGCGATTCAGCGGCTCGACAAGCTTCATCAAATTCAGCTTCTAGTTCAGAACCGCCTTTAGACGCGGAGGTCGCGCAACACAGCCAACATAGTTACACTTTGTTTCATGAGAGTTAGCAGCACAAAGAATCAGAAGGCTTAATTTGCCTTTCATCAGATAATGATCTTGTTGGCTAACTCTAAGGTGGTAGTTTCTTTGCTTTCAGCCACAAGCTGTGTTTTGTTAGACGCGGGCTCCATTCTAGTCTTCTGCGGCTAACATGTCGCTGCTCAAGGAGACTGGTCTGTTGACTGCCATTTCCTTGGTAGTCCACACCCTGGCAAACTAAGGAACTCTCTATTGTCAAAGGAGGCTGAAGTTGATAGTTCATCAATTTGTACGGCAGTTTGACTAGGTGAGCAGTCGGCACTGGCGGTTCACAACAGTGGATAGGCCGTCTTTCATTGATATCACAACAGACCTTCCGGAAGGTGATCGAAGTCCCTGAATCAGCTATGGTTGCAATCCAAGAGCATTCGGCTAAGTCAGGTTCTTCAAAGGAACGTAAGATGTTCAAGATGATGAGATTGATGCACAGCACCTGGTAGTTAGGGCTTATTTGCGATGCCTAGGCCAGAACCGCCAGCGAGCCATAGCGTACAAAAAGAATAGGACGAGTGAACGTAAAGTAGTTCTCTTCTTAGGATGCCTATCAGCATGCGTGCGTCTTTCACCTTGCGTGCCAGGGTTGAGTGTGTTTGCGGAAGTAGAGACCCGTACCTCGACTCCTGAAGCTGCCGGTGGAACGCGGGAGTCGGCTCTCTCTCCCTGATCCTTCGAAACCGAAACAGTGTGGCCGCCAGGAGGAGTTCTTCGTGCCTGCAGCCATGCCCTGGTCCGAGACATCTTCTTTTCCTCCTTTCGCACACAAAACGGACAGAGTTCGTCTTCTTTTAGGACCTTCCGAAACCTTGCATGGTCGTACCGACACCCATCTTTTCGAAGCTGGCCAACGCGATGATATGGCACCGATATTTTGGCCAGTTTCGGGTATATGTACGGCCGCATGCTGCTCCGGCCAACCATGTGGCCGTCGGGCTTGTTCCCAGTCGTCGGGTATATGTTAGGGCCAGGCAACGTTGACTTACGCTGTCTAGGGTCCACGTTTTTGAACCAGCCAAGGACCCTAGTAACAGTAGGAAAGCGCATCGTGGGCGTGGTGAAAGACGACGCGACGGTAAAATGCCAGGAACGTCTTGTCGCCAACCGACAATGTCAACAGGATCTCTGTATTTATACGAGTATGAAGCCCAGTCTTCTTGTTTCTATGTGGAAGGACTGTTCAGACTCAGATAGTCAAATTTACCCAATTAGTGTCCGTAACCCGTAGATTGAGATGAGAGATGGATAAATTATACAGACTCGCACCATCCTTGTTTTCATGAACAAAGGTGAAAACAATGCCATTCCGGGCTGCAAGGCCCTTGCCATGGCCCGATAAACCAAATAAGGGAATCAAGCTGCGCCAAAGGCCAACTAAGAGGCGGTTAGTGATGACAGGACCTCCTTGATGCTGAGCGCCGACTGCCTCAACGCCTCCTGCTCTGACTTGCTCAGAAGGAGGGGTACATCCTGATGTGCCCCGTGACGGTTCAACTTGCACGGCATGCTGAGTGCGACGTCCTCGACTCCGCCGTATGTTCCTACCCTCGACACCGTCATGATGGCATCGGCGTCGGTGATTATGGGCTCGAGGATGCTGACGAGCACCGACGCCACGCCATAATTGGTCTTGCCCTTGCGCCGGATGATCTCGTACGCTGCCTCCTTGGTCCGTTTCGAGCACTCTTCCATAGCCGCCTCGCTGAACTCGACGCCTTTTTGCTGACAATAGTCCTTGAGCCGCATACCCGAGATGGTCGCAAGCGACCATACAGCCAACTGACTGTCGCCGTGCTCGCCTACAATCACGGCGTGCACGTTACGTGGGTTGACGCCAAAGTACTTGCCCAGCTCGTGTCTGAATCGTGTGGTGTCCATGGCCGTGCCCGACCCCAGGACCCTCTCGACGGGGAACCCAGACAGCTGGTGCGCCGCGTGGGTTAGCACATCCACAGGATTTGTCGCCACCACCAAGATCGTGTCGGGCGCGTGTTGCGCAATCTTGGGCACCACGTCTTGGAAGAGCGCGTAGTTGGTCTTGACCAGGTCGAGGCGCGTCTGGCCTGGCTTCTGGTTGACGCCCGCCGTGATGATGACGGCAGCGGAGCCGGCGCAGTCCTCGTACTCGCCTGCGCGCACCCGGGCCTGCGCAAAGTGCGCCGCATGGCTCAGGTCCATGACCTCGCCGAGCGCGCGGTTCTTGTCGATGTCAATGAGGACAATCTCGGCGGCCAGGCCGTTGAGTAGCAGGGCGTAGGCTGTTGTGACGCCGACAGACCCGGCCCCGACGATGGCGATTTTGATGTGCTACATGTGTTGGCTTCGGGAATGCATGGGATGCGGTTGCGCGGGCAGCGGGCTCACCTTGACATTGTGTTGGGGAGGCATTTTGACTTCTTTTGTTATTTTTCCAAGTGTATGCTGGAAAGCTGGGATGTAAGTCAGTCGGACTCGCGAATTTGCAGGAGGCTCAAAGGCGTGGAGATGTGAAGGCGGATGGATGCGCCGCATTTAAAGCTATCATCGGACGGACATTTGCCTGAGCAGGCTGAGATAAGCCGTGATCTTGGCTGTTGGGCCGCAGCAGTTACGGAGACTTCGAGGTTCCGTCTGCTGCGCCTGAAATCGGGCTCGGACGGGAGGTTTAGCTGCAGCAACTCCAATGAAACCGGCCAGATTTTGGCGTCATGTGGCCTGTTTGCTAAGATCCATATCCAACGCCTCGCTGTTTGAGTGCAATGGGTGGTGGGACAGCATAAATTACTGGGACTGTGACTCAAATGGAAGCTGGGCAGGAGTCGCATCGACTAATGAATGAGGTGATGTTCTTTGAGTCCTTGAGAGATACTCGGGGAATTAATAAGGTACGGTATTTTGGAGCTTGGAGGCACAATGATTCGGTGTTGTTTGTCTGATATCCCTAACCCTGCGATCTATCCCCATTTACTCCGTATTTCTCCTTGGGCGGCAGTGTGCCAGAAATTATTCCTCACCCTTACCTGCCCTTCCGCCCACGCCTAGCCACCTACCAGGCTTTACCCACGCCCATACGTCTGGTGGTAAGAAATCAAGTCTGTTGGCCTGGTACACTGGTATAGTCACACTGCAGTGATGCTTACCATGGAACCTACCTACCCAAGGTAGGTAGGTAGGTAGGTACTGCCTTCAAGTTCTCCAGTGTTCACCCTCGTATCTTCAACAGCTAAAGCGGGACCTGCTGGTTGAGGCTGCGTCGCGTTGTTGGTTGAGTTCTTCTACTGTGATTGCTCTATTATTCTCTCCTGATTCCGCTCCAGTCTTCCTGTTGCCATCGCGTAATTGATCGTTGCCCGGACTGCCTTCATATGTGGTGACCACGCCTTGATTCCGATGCGCTTTTCCTCCTAGCCTTAGATTCCCTAGATTGTTCTCCCTACGAACTAGCTACCTTGCCTAACTAGCTGCACAGACTTGCATCCTAGGGCAACCTACCTTAATCAGTGAGGCAAGGCCAGACCTCCCTACCGGACCTCTCGGCCACGGGACCCTAAGGCTGCACCTTGAGCCCTCCGCAAGAGGCCACGGCACAACCCTACAGAGTTTCATAGGTGACACCACAGCAGCCTCATCCCATACCTACTGTAGCTTGCGCCCGGAACCAAGGGGACGTGGCCTAGCCACGCGTACAGTCCAACAGGTGCCGCGCTGACGTAACAGCTATTTCGCTCCTGTGGCCCGGGTGGGAGACTGGACCGCAATACTGACTCCCGATTCGAGCCACACTTGTTTACCATCTGGTACTTCCAATTTCACACAGGATTGATCTGATTAACCGGTACCAGTCTCCTCAAGATCCGATACCTGAAGCTCCACAGGAACACAAGCAAGATGATGAAGAACGAGACGGTTCCGCCCACCTTCCAGAAGTACTCTTCTGTGATTGTCTTGTCTCCACCCTTCACGCTCAGCTCAAAGTAGGATGCGAAGAAGGACAGCGGGAGAAAGACGATGGTGACGGCGCTGAAGGCGAAAATGGTTTTGTTTTGGTTGTCGGCCATGATGGCAAGCTCATTCTGCTCGATGGATCGGAGTTGAAAGAGCTGTGGCCCTGTTGGTTAGGTGCTCCAACCTAGATAACTTGGGTATAGTTCAGTCTTTATGAGACTCAAGAGAGAACGTACCGAATTCAACGACTCTCTCAAGTCCGCGCCCAACCGTTCGCACTGCTCTTTCGACTCCTTCATCTGGTGCTCGACGAACGCGATGCGGTTCATAGGGATCTCTCCCTCAGGGTTATCTGGCGGATTGCCTTGTACATCTGCACCTTGCAACTCGGGGAGTATGTCGCAGTCTTTGCGAAGGCGTTGGAAAAAGTCGAGCTTCTTGGCAAATATCTCCTTGAGGACGTTTAGCTCGTCGAGACAGACTAGGTAGGCGCGGACGAGGGCGATGGTTTCGTTGCGCTGCCACTGGTCGTAGCGACGCTCTTTCTGTCCGGTTGTTAACCATCCGTCTGTGTTTGTAATTCCAAGGGGAAAAGGATATTACCAGTTCGTGGACGATGGAGTCATACGCGTCCATCAAGGAGGGGACGCTGTATCCTTGGCGGATGTTATGTGGCGTGGCTGCTACCTCTGTCATGAGGTAGATCATGAACCATTCCGTATTCCTGCGATACCACGAGTCCGTCCCGGTCTCTGAGAACTCGCGAAAGATTTGTGCCGTGGCCGATGCGAAGTTCTCTTCAGCTAGGTCATTCTGAGACAACTCGAGGTAGTACGGCAAGTTCATATTCAGGTAGTCCACACCCGCGGCGGGTGACATGGTCAGGAGGAATCCGTCAGCTCGGTGAAAGCAGCGGAATGGGTTCCTGGCAATGTGCGAGTTCTTGAAGAAGCGATGCCGGCACAGCGCCTGGGCAACCTTTTCGAGTTTGGTGCCTCGCAGACCCTCAGAGGGACCATTCATGTTCAGGTGGCTGCCCTCGGAGATCTGCCAGGGTAGGTCTGCCTTGGCCAAGTCCCAGAATTCGACTGACTGGCCAACATACTGGGCGCGCCACTTGATGTCCTTTGTGAGCCTTTCATCGTTCATCCCGGCAAAGACACTTCGGTTGAGAACATGGCTGATATTTTCCTCATCCTTCAACATGCGTAGGAGATCGCGAGAGTCTTGGACCCAGCGCGTGTTGCGGAGATCAAAGGTTTCACATTCAAGATAAGGCCAGCCAGCGCGACCCCCGTTGGTGAAGGGGGGACCCATCACTTTGGATCCGGTGTGGAAAAAGAGGGCCTCCAGGGACTGCTTGTTGGTTAGCCGGGTTTGTATGGCGTCAATCAAACTCTCAATGTGCGTACGGAGTGGAGAAGGCCGACGCCTAAAGGAGCATGGCTGTAAGACTTGTAAGTCGACATCAACACGGTGGCATTTGGTTGAGGGGCAACTCTTACATCCATCGCACCGTTGACCATTCTGGTTTGCTGTGAAACTCTGTATCGCATTAGCCAAGGACTTGTCTTATACAACGTTGGGCCGGGCGTTACCTTTCTCAATATCGCCAAGACGCACTTCCTTGCGTTCCGCTCTCCCGGGTCCAAAGTCACAAACCGTGACCATGATATCGGATCGAGGCGGGAAAAAATGGTTAATGGCGCTGTACACTCTGTCTTCACTCGGCATCCTGAACTTGACATCCCTCAACAAGAGACGCCGCAGGACTTTGGTGAAGATGCCGGTTTCGCGCGACTTGAACCATCTTCGCAAGTCTTCCACTGTCTCGGAATGGTATTGCTGCGCAGCCCGGCGTTCCGTTAGTACCTCATTGGGGATGTCGGGTGGTGGGTCGCGAGTGTAGTTCCATAGAATCTTGGTTGTGCTGACGGGGATGTATGGGTGCGCTTTCTCAGACAGTTCGAAAGTCTCAATCTTTGACGATGTTTTGTCCATGTTGCGGTTGCTTGGGGTATTGACTTCGTTGTGCTGTCCGCCGAGTGCCGGACATGCGGGAAGGCAGATTCTGTCTCCTAAGTAGGATCTTCCTAACTATTGGGGACATCGCCGGTGGCAGAGATACAGATACCACTGGCAGGCATCCTGTGTCCTGCAAAGTGCAGAGGCTGGGTAAGCCTATTGTTTCAGATAATGCTGTTGGGTGCAAGTTTTAAGGCTTTCAGCACTGTAAGAGAGCTTGAAGCTTTAGTAAGCATCGGGCGTTCATCGCCCTACTTTCTGGTGCAGGGCTCTCGGTTTCGACGAATCAGGCCTCAACAAGTTGGCGCGCGGTAATCGGGATCTGTCTTGGCAGGCTGCGCACTTGGTTCCCGCCAGGTGCGGGTGCCTCAGATGGACAACTTGAAGTCTGGGACGAGGTGGTGCTGGCCGGGCCAGTGCGGTACATGCTCAGCCCCGAGTTTCCCTTTCCCCGCTCGTGGTAGAATATCGTATCATCTCGGTCATCTTTTCCAACCCCTTAAACCAGTTTCTCGCTATCCCATTGCCGCCCGCTCTTGGTAGGATATCGTATCATCTCGGTCATCTTCTCCACCCCTTGAAGCCCATACTTGTCCAGGTCGAACTCGACTGTGTCAATGTCCTGGAACCCATAGTGTTCGTACAGTTTCCTGCCCTGTTCAGAAGCCTGAAGATAGCAATTGAGACCAGTCTCCTTCTGCTTCTCAAGTCCCCATTGCACCAGGAGACCCCCAGCGCCTTTTCTCCTGTGTGGCTCTGCTGTGACGAGGAGCGCGAGGACTGACATGGTTAGTGTCAGTTTGAAGTATGCAAGGTATGGGTGAGAGAAATCTCAGCGTACGCAAGTGCGGGTTTTTGCCCATTCTGCCGTTGCGTGTACAAAAGTACTCGTGTGCTGCCTCTCTCAAGGCCCCGTATTGATCAACGCCCTTGTCCTTGTCGCTCATGCGCTCTTTGAGCTTCTCCAAACTCTCCTTGGAGCGACCATTAGGATAGAGTTCCCACTTGGCATATGCCATGACTTCGTCCTCATTATCGGGGTCGACAACCTTGAGATGGCGCACAAAGCTGTCGGGATCGTCGAGGTTGGCGCGCACCGCAGCTTCGGCCTCCTCGATGTATCCCGGGTAAGGCGGCGGGCGTCCGATGACTAGGCTCCCAAGTCCGGCAACGCGGATTGCAATGCATTGCGGGACGTCGGCGTGTTCAACTGGTTTCACGACAAGCATTTTGCAGACTTGGTTTTGGAGGAAGGGAAGTACGAGTGCGCAGGTGCCCGGAATCCGCATGACCCTGGATATCGAATGGGTGATCTGAGATTGATATTCTTGAAGAGTATACTTGATCCAATCCGATACAGTGGGATAAATGACAGGTAAATATATTGCAAAAGCCCTCTTCACCTTCAAATGTGAGATGCGATATCGATTTGAACGGCAGTGTTTGAAAAAAACAGTGAGTAAACAGGCATCGGCGCCGCCAACACTCGTTGGGTGACTTGGGTCTGACCTGAAAATAACACCTGTAGCCAAGCCCTGGCAGGTGGTGGGTGATCCTCAACCAACCATGATCCTTTAGTATGTACTGTACCTAGGTACCTAAGGTATAGGTACTTACTATGGTACACACAATTACGCAGGTAACGCAGCAGCCTGTATGGTTACATACTTGGCGTGCGGGGCGGCGGGGCCTTAATTGAACCCGCACAGACCAGCCAGGCACCTTCTCGGGCAGATGCCTATTCTATTCGGGGAGCCTCTTTTGCTATCGGCAGACCTTACCTCAGCAAACTCAGCTAAAGCCATTCTGTTAGGTCGATCAGCGTTGACGGTAATGCGATTGTGGTTTACGACTCCTAACTACTAGGCTTCAACCCCTTGAACTTCTTAGTAATTGCTGTAATCGCTTCCTCGACCGGCAGTCTTTCCATCGAGCTCGCGCCATAAAACCCATGCACACCCTTCGTTTTCCCAATCACGTACTCGGCATCCTCCGGCCTCGCGATCGGGCCCCCGTGACACAGCACAATAATATCGTCCTTGATGGCCGCCGCTGCATCTCGAATCTCCTGAATCAACTTAACACATTCATCCAAACTCTTGCCCGAAGTAGCCCCAATACTCCCCGAGGTCGTAAGACCCATATGCGCAACCAGGATATCCGCACCTGCTTCTGCCATTTTCTTTGCTTCCGAGACATTGAAGACGTACGGTGTTGTTAGTAGATCCAGGTCTCGGGCTTGCTTGATCATGGCAACCTCCGCGTCGTAGCTCATTCCTGTCTCCTCGAGGTGTTGCCGGAATGTTCCGTCGATGAGACCGACGGTAGGAAAGTTTTGGATCCCGGCAAACCCGAGATCTTTGAGTTGTTGCAGGAAGCGTGGCATTGAGCGGAAGGGGTCCGTGGCGCACACGCCGGCTAGCACAGGCGTGTGTTGCACTATGGGGAGGACTTCGCCTGCCATTTCCAACACCACATCATTAGCATTTCCGTATGGCATAAGCCCGGCTAGTGATCCCCGGCCCGCCATTCGGTAGCGCCCGCTGTTGTAGATGATGATCAAGTCGCCTCCGCCGGCTTCGACGAACTTTGCGCTCAGGCCAATACCAGCGCCTGCTCCAACGAGGATGTGGCCTTGTTCGATTTGGGAACGAAGGCGCTTCAGGATTGCGGTTCGGTCGGTTGGAGGAGACATTTTGTTGTTTTTTTGGACACTCCACTACAAATGTTCGATGGCTGGATGAGAAGTAGAAATAAACGCTTGGTTTCTCCGGAGTTTGCTCGATAATCTGATGTTGTAGCGATGACGATGATGTTCAAAATGGAGTCAGAATGACGTGGAGTACCTATGCATGTATCCGTACTGTACCTACGTAATTGCAAGCGCCGAGCGGGGACCGTTACACACCTTGTGACACTGATGAGTTGATACAGTACCACCGGCACCGGTTGAGGAGTCAATACGTGTTGCCTTCCATCTCGCGGCCACCGTACCTTTTAAATTCTCCAGCGCGTTTTCTCAAAACCGTGGCATCATGTCTGCACATCATGCCCTGCTGCTGGGAACTTGCGACACGAAGCTGGAGGAGCTTCTCTTTCTGAAAGGCGAAATCGAGCGCTACGATGTCAAGGTAACCCTGATTGACGTGGGCCGAACTCTTACGAAGCATGAAGCCATCACCATCAGCCAGTCGAAATTACTGCAGGTGTATTCAGATGGAAAAGATATTAGCCATCTTCCTCGCAACCAAGTTCTCAACACCATGGCCAACTGCGCCACCCAGCAAGTCCAAACTTATTTCCATTCGGGCGATATTCATGCCATTGTCAGCGCAGGAGGCTCCTGCGGGACTTCGCTTGCTGCGCAAGTCATGAGAGATGCGTTACCGATTGGATTTCCAAAGATGATCGTTTCCACGGTGGCCAGCGGACATACTGGGCCGATTGTGGGCGAAACAGACATCACGATGGTGTACAGCGTCGTTGATATTGCGGGCTTGAATCAAGTTCTGAGAAATGTTCTGAGCAACGCGGGAGCTGCCGTCGCCGGCATGGCACGAGCCTACGCATCGAGACTAAGTACTCGAGGAGCTGGCTCACAGAAAAAGCGCGTTGGTATCACCATGTTCGGCGTGACTACTCCGGCTGTCGATGCGATACGGAAACACCTCGAATCCGGCCAAGAAGTCGAAACATACATCTTCCACGCGACTGGTCATGGTGGCAGAGCTATGGAGCGCCTGATTCGCGAAGGGCAGCTTGATGCCGTATTGGATTTGACGACAACCGAGATATGCGATTATCTCACCGGCGGGGTAATGAGTGCTGGCGAACATCGTCTGGAGGCTGCTGCAAAAGCTGGTATACCCAATGTCGTATCCGTGGGCGCGACAGACATGACAAACTTTGGCCCTAAGAGCACGGTGCCGGAACGGTACAAAGATCGCAATCTTTACGAACACAACCCTGTCGTGACACTGATGAGAACCTCGAAAGATGAAGCACGGCGAGTTGGGGAGTTCCTTACTGGAAAACTGACTTCTTATTCGAGCGATGTGGAAAAAATAGAGGTCTGGCTACCAATGGGGGGTGTCAGCTTGCTGTCAACGCCCGGTGGGCCGTACGAAGACCGAGAAGCGGATCATGAGATGTTTGAGGCGATTAGGAGGGGTCTTGAGGGTAGCGGGATTAAGATCGTGGAAGACAAGCGCGCTATTAATGATCAAGGATTGGCGCATGACATTGCAGAAGCGCTATTGAAGAAGATGGGCATCAGTCGCAACACGTCGTGATTTCCGACTGCGACTGGACTACAAATAGCTTGCCGAAGACGGTGAAATGGACCGCGCACTGGACGGTAATGAACATGGCGGCATATCCACAGCCGACCCAGATCAGGTTGTCGACGAGCCTGCCGTGAACTGCAAGGCGATCTCCAAGTTCTCCTAGTTAGCATCCCGCCTGGGAAACCGTGGCGGATTCTCGCCCGAGTTGGATTTCAGGGACTGACCATCCCGGCATGAAGGGGAGCTGCTGCAGGGACTCCCGACTGACCCTTAAACGGTGCAGCCTCGCCTGATGTTGTGGTTAGAGAGGGTTACATTCATGATAACCGATGGGATAGTGATCTGGGACGGCGCGTACGATACGCCCCTGATTTGTTCGTTGGCGCGCGCTCGCAGCAAAACCCCATTTCAGTTAGGTATGTTGTCGCGGCTGCAAACCTTGGCGTAAGTCTCTCGCGCCAGATCTTGCCGGCATTAAGGGGCATTTTGTACTCCAAGGCCAAATGGGGGCTGACTGCGACCAACAGTCCAACCAGCGTAGTCTTCTTGATATATTATCGACCCCGAGTAGGACCTTGTTCCTCTGTCCAGCATGCTGCGACTCCACTAGTAAGTTAGTCATGGCCTTCGCGGGTCGGTCCATGTTCACTAACCGGCGTCGGATTCAGTCCCTTGGCGCGGCTGTTCTTCTCGTCTTTGTTGTCCAATGGCTCCACCCGCTCAGCAGCGACGCCGAGAGCAACGACTACCCCTTTAAATGGCAGAGCCCCCTCCACGACAGGGGCAAGCCCGCGCTGGATCTTCCGTCCGAGTATAACGAATTCCTGGAACACGCCATCCCGCAGTCTGAGTACTGTAACGAGAGATTCACCCCACGCTATCTCGATGACTTCCGCACCCACGCCATCCAGTACTGCGCCGCGGGCTCAGCAGCCAGCCTGCACTGCTTCCAGGGCCAAACGCGCCCTAACAATGTTGTCGACTCAATATGTATTGGACAAGGCGCCACGCTGGATGTGGCAGGCGGAAAGTTTGCCCTTGATTGCGAACTGCGGGCTCCCGACGCGAACGAGACAAGCCGCGGCTTAATGCCGTTTGACGGCATGAAACCGGAATGGTACGAAACCGGTTCCCGCTGGATATTCGACCATTTTGTGAAGGTCGAACGCGGCTCGTCGGGCGCGGCAACGATGCAGTCGACGACTCGGAGCGCGGTCCGTTCCAGCAACATGAACCCGCAGTTTGCGCTGCTCGTCAAGCGCGAGGGCAGCAGCAATATCTGGCACGGTCTGATGGAGATATGGAGCATGATGATGACTTTCGACCTGCTGCGGACCAGCCCCAATCCGTCGCGCAAGGGCGCGCCTTTCTTTGCCGACCGCTCGGACCTCCCCAACGCCCAGGCCCTCGTGCTCGACGACTTACCGGACGGCAACCTCTTCGATCTCTGGACCATCTTCACCGGCCGGCCACCCGTCCGCTGGAAGGACCTCGTAGGCGACGCCGAGCAGGCCCGCGCTTTCGTCCAAGTCCCGCGCAACATCATCATCCCACTCCCCGGCGCCGCCAACCCGCTCTGGCAAAATGACTGGGTCGACCACGACTGCGGGTACGCGCCCATGCTCAAAACGTTTGTGCACCGCGTCCTGCGCTTCTACGGTATTTCAACCGACAAGGATGACGAGAGCCCCCGTATCGCCGCGGCGGATCATGTTGATGCCAATGCCATCATCAACATCACCTTCATCGACCGCACCGGCAGCCGCAGGCTGCTGGAACATGAGGCCCTGCTGGCCGCCGTCGCGGCTAGGCATCCGCGCGTGCGGGTGAAATCGGTCGATTTCTCAACCATCCCCTTTGCGGAGCAGCTGCAGCTTGTACGCGAGACGGACCTGCTGCTGGGCGTGCACGGCGCGGGGCTCACGCACACAATGTTCATGCGGGACGGGCGCGGGGCCGTCGTGGAGATTCGGCCCGCGACGAACGACTACAGGGGGTTCCGGAACCTGGCCTTCATGAAGGACCTGCGATACCTTACTGCGTACGCTGAGCAGGTCCCTCGAAGCGAAAGCAGTGATGGTGATGGGCAGAGCAAGCGAAGCCCTGGGATGCTCGTCAAGCGGGACTCATGGCATTGGGACGATGTCAGGATAGAGCCAAATAACTTTATGGAGCTGATGGACGCTGCCATCGCAGCGCTATCACATCCGCGTCGGGGGATATAGAGATAGGGCCTGGTATGATTTCTGGATATTACCATGTTTGGCTTGTCCTGGCGACTTGGAGTTCGGCGCATAGGTTCTACAGTGTAATACCCCCTGACTGGCCGATGATACCAGGTAGACTTCAAGTTCCTATTGTTGTAAGTGTACGAGGTAGTTGCGGTGTCATTGAGGATACTAGTAGCATGTAGGGCGGCGGACTCAAGTGCGCCACTCGCTGATAATGCACCTTACTCCCTTCATCGCTTGACAAAAAGAGAACCCACTTTCCAGGAACTCGTATTTGCGCGCAGGACGTCTTTTGATGTCTTGGGCTGTGACTTCAGGCTGTTTGCCAAGCATGCGGCCAAGATGATCGAGGAATCATCATACTTATCTACGGTACTTCGTACCGTGGGTACAGGTATCTGAGGTAGGTACTGTACTGTAACTGAATACGGAGGTATGTAGTGGGCAATCGTAGCAGGAAAAGCCCCGAGAAAAGAAAAGGGGGACCCCGGGAAATACGAGGGCAAAGTAATGTACTTGTTCTCGCTCACTCTATGTAGATGTTGAGGATCACCACGAAGTAAGGCACCACGATTGGATTGGATATTGCAGAATGCAGGTGCTGCGCCACACCGCCAGGCACTTTCTATGGATGAATATCCGGTAAGATATCGCTCTGCAGAGCACGGGCAACGAGCTGCTTTGGGCTCGGGGAAACGTACCGGCCGTCTTACCTTGACCTCTCAACCAATACGGAGTAGTAGTTTTAGGTACTACACACTTGTCTTGTGGTATCCGTACGGCAGTCAGATAGGGACAAGTACTTAAGGAGCAAATTTCTCCTAGTGCCCCTACCTACATGTACAAATATCAAGCAGCGGAGCGAACCCTCCACCGCTCTCCGTACACTGTTCAAGGTCATTTGTACAAGACTTTCCCGACTCGAACAGAACAAGATTCTGTTGCGAGCGGGGCTTGGTCGAAACTTCGAGCGCCGGCGGAATGCCCGAGATGCGTCAACTCAGGGGTAGACACGTCTATCATTGGGCGCCACAATTCACCAGCTGAAGTCCTTTGGGTAACGTTGGCTAATCAAGATTCTAATGCAGGTTTCCAATCCCTGTGATATCTGCTTATGGCTCAGCCGCACGAGGCTCCCATCCATGATGACAATGAGGGAGCTGTGCGACAGCACGACTAAGCGTGCAGAACTGCAGGTAGGTCGAGTCCCATATATGAGTCCTAAAGCCCCCAAGGTGATGAATCGTACCTGAGTTCTACTTCAAAGCCAACCCAATCTGGATTCGCTTAGAATTCGTTTCTTCTCCTGAGCTCGTTCAACTCTCAAGGGTTATCCACTCGTTTGACGCTCAAGGACTATCATCCACTCGTTCAATTCAATAGCCTACCAAGCATATTACCTTATAAACAAAATGCTTCCCTCAATCGTCATTGTTGCGGCTGCTCTCGGCCTTGCAAATGCGGCCAACAACTTGAACCCCGTGAGCCCTCGCTGGTCTCTCAACAAGCGACAGGGCGAGTCGTTCCGGCCCGGTGAGAACACTGGCTTTGGAGAGACCTGTGTCGAAGCCTTTGGTCCCGGCTTTATCGAATGCCGCCCTGCATCGGCTACGGACAGCATGCTCTGCATCAACCCCGACCTCGGCCACACATGCTGCAGCAACCTCTGTACGTTGACCGTAGCATACAAACCGCGAGGCAATATGAATAACGAGATGCTGACTGTTTGCCAGGGGGTTGTCCCGCCGACTCTTTTTGCCTCGTCGATGGCCTCTGCTGCCCTACGGTGCGTCCCTGACTCCGATTCTTTACCTCTTTTCTGAAAGGCCGAGAACATTAACATAATCTCTGCAGGGCCTTGATCCCGTCACCTGTGCGGCCGAGAACGGCGTTAGCCTCCCACCTAATTTTGGCGCGACCACCACCTCCACCCCTGAGGATACTGCCACGGCCACGGCTACGGCCACCGTTCGGACTACTACTACTGAAGCCACGGCCACGTCTGGGATTGCCCACACTACGAGCACCACAAGAGCACCGATTCATGGGACCGGAAGCTTTGGCAATGGAACAGCAACCCGTACCGCTACCACTTCGAGACCTGTGGTCACCGCTGGTGCTTACAAGGAGAAAGCTGGCATTGCTGCCGTTATGCTAGGTCTTGGTGTTGCCATCATTGTCTAAGCGCCTGTCTATGTTCTGGACACTACCTGCTTTACTTAGGTAGCTATTAGCTAAGGTAGTAGTTGGCTATAATGCTTATGTGTGTACTAGTATATGTAGGTAATCTTGCTGTCTCCAGCTGGCAAGGAACAACTAGACAGCTACAAACATAAAAGTTTGAAATACCCTGACTCACCATGTATAAGCCTACGTGCAATGCTAGTGCGATGATCGATCCTGGATGCGATTTGCCATGTGTCTCGACAAGCCGTTCCTAGTAGTCCCTTTGACTGATTGGACAACAAACTTCCTCATCGACAGACGGCATACGCCATCTATATTGAGACAGTTTAGCATGAATGCAACTTCTGCACGTCCCCATGGGGATCTTATATTAGGCAGAAAGCTTCCCCACATATTGCCCTATTTGTACGAGAGAGAAGCGCTCTCTCGTTCGGTAGTCATACGCGGCTCATTCCCAGCAATGCATGGAAGAAGTGCTATGCCCAAGTGGAATATGGACTTCGATCCACCACCGAGTCATGAAGTCATTGCTTGAAGCTACGCTCTCGGGTATATAGCTTCATTTACAAGGGGCCTGTATTGCACAGCTATATGACCAAGTAATACTAGTACAGTAGTACTACAGGCGACTCCTTACTACATCACTTCCTGAAATTGGGGCGAAAGGGATCACCAGGTGTCCTTTCCATCAATCTGGAGCTAATTCCTTGTTATACTACTCCTTGCTGTTCATATGATTGCCTGTCTATGTTCTCTACCGACCTACTACTCTACTACTTACCTTTGCGCCCTGGTCTCAGATCCCTCTCCGTTTCATCGAGAAGCAGACAGAAAAAGGGTAGAAACGGATGGACCCCTTGCCTTTACATACACATGGTAGGAGGGAGAAATGTGTGGGCAGGAGATTTAATAGTACTTAGAGAAACGCAGGCACTTATACGTTGTCGTATATACCCAGACCAGATAGCTGAACACCCAGGTCCCGCTGTTACATTGAGCTCTCTCCCGCGGATATCAGCATGACATGTCTCCGCCTTCCGTTTATGACCACCCGTACGTCCGAACCGGGTTGGAGGAGCCTCAGTAAAGACCAGTAATCCCATAGTAAGCGTGCTAGCCAGAGGGTTAGTAGGATAAATAAACCGCTGATCACCCTGAAAGCTTTCTTCAACACCTTCTTCTTCAACTTTCACAGCTCCTAGGCCCAACAATAATAACAACCCGCCAAACATGAAAGTCTCCGCGGTCACCATACCCGTCCTGGCCGCTGGCCTTGCCAGTGCCAACCCGGTGAGCCTCGAAGAGCGACAATCATGCCCCAACATCCACATCTTTGGGGCTCGCGAAACGACGGTACCGCAGGGCTACGGGACTTCACAAGGTCTCGTCAACATGGTGAAGCAGGCCTACCCTGGTGCCACCAGCGAGGCCATCGTATACCCAGCCTGCGGAGGCCAGTCCCAGTGCGGCGGCATCAGCTACGACAACTCGGCGACCCAGGGAACCGCTGCCGTGGTCAGGGCTGTGACGGACCTCAACAGGCGCTGCCCCAACACCAAGATTGTTCTCATCGGCTACTCGCAGGGCGGCCAGATTATGGACAATGCCCTCTGTGGAGGTGCCGGGGCAACGCTCACGGGAGCTGCGCTCAATGCTGTCAAGGCGGCTATTTTTATGGGAGATCCGCATAATAATGTTGGGCTGCCGTATAATGTTGGGACTTGCCGGAACAAAGGGGTAAGTTGTCCATCTTGAGTTGCCTCCCCTGTCTCTCGGGGGATTTCTTGAGGTTGATAGAGTCGTGTCTGGTACCAGTTCGCGGCCCGCCCCAACGGCTTCCAGTGCTCGCCGGCCAACCCGGCCATCATCCAGTCGTACTGCGATTCGACGGATCCGTATTGCTGCAACGGCAACGACGCAAACTCGCACCAACAATACGTCAACAAGTACGGGCAGCAGGCGCTGGCTTTTATCAAGAAGCTTCTGGATGCGGCTTGAGTTGGGTTCGTCGTCTGTGTATTGACATCAGGTTACCTAAGGAGGTACTTGTACCTAGGCGTGACCACATTCTTGTAAATACCTGTATGCCAAAAGACAAGCAGAGGTTGATAGTAACAGAAATAACCTTCCATTCCACACGTGCATGTAGGTAAGGTAGTCAAGTCGTTAGTGCAAATATGCCCCTGAGTGAGACCCACGTGCAAGGCAACAACTTGAACAGTTCCTCGACATACACAAATCCGAGACCAACTTTCATGATCTAATACCGGATACTAGCAACAGCAGCGCATAGGTGAGGCTAGTATTCATCAACAACTTGAAGTCAGCGCCCATCTAAGGTAGGTACTCCTCCTACATTTGTTCCCCCTATGTGTGACACGACCAAACTGTATGTGCGCTGGCCGACTACTACTGCTGCCGATGCTTGTAGTGGTAAACACACAGGGTGTCGACTTGTACAAATCGGGGTGGCAGCCATTGGATCTGACAGTTCAACCAACCATCCTTGCGTGTCTTGCACCTTTTGACTCGCTCTTCGCCGCCCTCGGACTCACAACGGCATGAGTGCCGGTAACGAATCTGGCGCCAGTTGCACATGAGTGTTGGATTGGAGCTAGGTGCGGTGTCGGCAATTACTGCTATCGAGGTTAGCCTAGAAACCAGTAGAGCTGGGAGGTTAAGGATCTCCGGTGTTTACAGAACCTTGATATGTGTTGATGGCGGGGCTTAGTAGGAGTTGGCACCTATTGACCGAATCTTGTCATGTAGAGTGCTAATCTCAGCTTGTACATACTTAGGTAAGTAGTTGGATAACAACTGAGGTGCTGCCAGATTATAACCTCGCGTCGAAGGCGTTTCTTTCGGAACATGTGTTGGCAATGCTGCCAACCTGGCGACTCTCAGGCTCCGGGCCACGATTCAAGAAACTTTAGACCACATTAGCATAATTGTATAACTCTCACCTTAGACCTAGTCACGTTAGGCTACCTTGCCAATTGCCTTTAGCATCTTCAGACCAATAGTAATGCGAAAGGACAAACTGTCTTAAGACCTCCCGCTTACCTCCTTACATGTAGACGCAGCTTGTTCTTACCAGTTACCTGCTAGATCAACCTGGCTATAGAACTGTCTTAGGTCGGTATTTTGCTCATAATGCCTTGATGCTGCTCAATACAATCCTGTCTATCTTACAGCTTTCTGCAACAAATGCCGTTAATGCTTCTTTGATAGATGGCCCGGTATCTCCATATTCAAGAGTGTCAGACTCCGTTATGTGGCCTCCTCCTCGCAGCAGTGGAATCCCCGAGTGAATCCATTCCTCAATTAGCCACCCCACTGCCGCTCGTGGTTGATACAAGGATAGAAGACCGTTATATAGCTAGGTGACAGGTACCGTACTCTTGTGCATCGTCTTGAGGGGCTGAACCTGCGCCTGCTGCAATACTGGACCCGCTCAACCCCTCTCCGGAGAACACAACCGCATGAGAGGTTGTAATATACCTACCTCCCTGTAGTAGCACATGGTTCGCTATCTGCCGTAGCCGTCACAGATGGTCGGTACACGCCTGGTCTCGGTTTATATCGCTTAGTTCAAGGGGTTGCTCTACGAAGTTTGCAGGTAGGCGGCAGTCGAGGCTGGCAACCGAGATGCTGCCATTTATACATCTCAGCTCCTAGTCAACATGCCACCCAGCATCTTAGATGTGCTATGTGGCTTTGATATAATACAAGACATAACAAACTCTCTACGTTTACGTTACGTGTGTTGATCGGATACAATGGCCAAATCTTACGTGTGCTTGTAGTTCAAGTACCTGCAGGCGTACTGTATGGTGTAGAATTGCACTCTACAGGTTCAGCAACTCTAAGTCAACGGCTTAGAAAAATTCTTTTCCCCGATCTTTCACAAGTTTCAGGCTCCGCTGTATAAACTCCCTCTTGCAGCAGTAGGATGGCCGAGGGAAGATGCCCGTTAGCGCTCCAGTGTACTATGTGGCCCATATGACGTGACTCCATTCCTCCCTTAGCCATCATCTGCGGCATGACCAAAACGTGGTATCTTGTCATTCTTATCCACTACCTCCGCAGGTGGTATTCACACCGGTAGTGGACGGTTTCATACCGAGGTGACAGGTATCGAACCCTCCTGCATTGGCTGCGGCTCATTCTGCTTCTTGTGCACCTTCGGACTCGTTCATCGCCCCATTGCATCTCACAACCGCATAAGTGGACAATATACACCTCCCTGTAATCGCACATGGCTTGATATTTGGTGTTGGCAATTCTTGATGTAGGGATGTTTCGATGGAGCTTTCGTCCTCTGACTTTAAGGTTGGTGTTGTCCCCACGAAAGGTCGGCACGCCTGGTGTAGATGATACTTATGAAGTATCAGTTGGTTCTCGGGGTTGCTCTACGAAGATTGTATTGAAAAACCAGCCGAGGGTGGTAGCTGAGATGCTGCGTCTTTAAATTCCCTAGTGAATATGCCACCTCCCAGCATTAGAGATGTGTCACCCATGTAGCATTGACAGACTTCAACATAGCAAGCTCTTTACGTTTGTACTAAGGATGGATCGAAGACGGTGGCAAGGGACGCAATATCGTGAGACAACATGTAGCCCCATAATACCCTTCGTGTTCATATTCGGCTCGGCGAATGGCGACAAACAGCAGCTAATAGGATTCAATTGATACCCTGGCTTGCAGGTAGGGACATACATGTACAAGTGGTTTGAAGATGCCTCTGTACTACTAGTCAGGACAGGTGTCAGATGAGGGGCTGACTTTGTCTATGACGACGAAGAGGAGGTGGAATCTCCGGCTTAAGGTTTAGTTCTCTAGCCGTGTGGTATGGTCACCTCTGTGCCTTCATTTCCTGTCGTGTGCTGTCCTAGTCCGTCTGTGTCTGCCAAGTGCAGGTCCAAATCGGGATCCGAATCGGAATTCAGATCGGAGTGGGGCCGGGATCGGAATCGCAATCGGCATGGTGCCGGATCGGAGTGGAACCTGGATACCGCACCAATCGGGGTTTAGCCTGCGTCGACCCCGGTCAGGTTTCGCCTTGGAGCACAGTGGGGATGTAGGGCTGAGGCGCGGCTTGGCAAGTTCAATTTCGGTGAAAGGGTGAGACCGTGAGAGTAACGATGTTGTCCCGTGGACTCACATGGTAATTATCAAGTCATACTCCGTATGGACGAGAGCTTTTGGATTGTGCCGTTTGTCTGCGTGGACGAGCATAGAGTACATGTACAGTCCAGTACAGTCTCTTTACAATGCTCTTCTGCTTGGCTCTGATGCGCTGCCAAGGTAACAAGCTTCCAGGTTCCCCTGTTTGTGCTCGACCACAATTGACTGTTGGTTGTCTGAAATGCTGGGCAATTTATTAAGCGAACACGACCCAGAGCTTTGAGCCCAACAAAGCTCAGCTGTCATGCAGTTGGAGCTGCATGGGTAGAAGGCAGCAAGCGACAAATGGAGGGCACGGCAATTTCCTTACCCACCGTATTTGATCAGGGAAAGAAGAATCCGTGGTGGGCGCTTTGCCCTTTCCTGGCTACAACCTAAGGTATGTTACAGACGAAACTACCTCAAGCTACGTAAGTGAGCTGCAAACGGAGCAGCCCCTCCCCACTAAATACTCATTCTTCGATTCTCTAAAACCCCCCAAGAGCGCTAAGCTCAACAATGTCATCTCCCAAAGACCTGTGGTGGGCCGCCCGCAACCCACCCGCCGACCCCCGCCATCTCGACTTCAAGAACAAAGCCGTCCTCGTTACGGGCGCCAACTCTGGCCTAGGCCATGCCGCCGCCATCAAGTACGCCGCACTCGGTGCCGACCCGCTCATCCTGGCCGTGCGGTCGCAGCAGAATGGCGACGAGGCCAAGGCCGACATCATCCGCGCGACCAAGTGCTCGCCCGACATCTTCGTCGTCGAGGTCCTCGAGCTGACGACCTTCGCGTCGGTCCGGGAATTCGTTAACCGCCTTAATGCCAACCCCCGCGTCCAACGCCTGCATGTCGTGCAGCTCGCCGCCGGCGTGTCCATGCCGAGCTTTACCAAGAGCCCCGACGGCTACGAAATGGCGCTGCAGGTGAATGTCCTGTCGACGGCGCTGCTGGCACTGCTGCTGCTGCCCAAGTTGCGCGAGACGGCAGCGGCCGAGGGACCGGACGGGTTTGCCCCGCACATGTCCTTCGTCAACAGCATTGCTCACCTCGAGGTCAAGCCTGAATGGATTGCCGATGGAGAGTCGCTGATCCAGAGACTGCAGAACGAGGCCAAGTTTGACAAGGTCACCCAGTACTACCTGCTCAAGCTCGCGTTGATCTTTGTCGTGCGAGGACTGGTCCAGCGGGTGGGCGCAGCAGAGGGAATGGTCATCAACGCGACGTGTCCCGGCATGTGCAAGACCAATTTGGGACGCAACCATGGACTGATCGAGCGCATGTTCATGGCCGTGTTTTATGTCTTCTTTGGCCGCTCGGCTGAGGTAGGCGCCCGCGTAATGGTCGGTGCCACGGGGCTGGGTCCTGAGAGCCACGGCAAGTTTTGGACAAATGACAAGTACCTACCGTGAGTCATGGCTCTCTTGTCCAGGGATGTCTACCCTACCTGCGTTTCTCTAACAGTTCATCAGCCCCAGTGAGTTTATGGAAAGCGAGCGAGGGAACGAGCTGTACCGGGAGACATGGAACGAAATATTGGATATTCTCCGCAGACAGGCTGGCTATTCCTATGTTTAGGGAAGCAGACAGGTGACTGTTATAAGCGGCACCCGGGCTAACATCACGAGCACTTTCCAGTTTCCACTTCTCAACTTCGATGTTTGTATAATTTCCTGGTGTAATCCAACGAGGCTTTGCTGAACCGCCCTGTTTCCCACCTCCCCACCGCTTCTCCTTCAATAACAGCGACATGCCAATATTGGGCATAATGCTATGGTGTCGCATGATATCAGCCGGGCGACTGTGTACCCCCTCGGGATACGTGATGTCGTACCTGGTTAGAGCTGGATGAACATCAGGTTCATGTCCTCCTGCGCGAAAAACCCGCCCGGGCAGGCGCGCAGCCCGCTTCCGAAAGGATTTGGCCTCGAATTCAGGAAGATATAGCTGTGTAAGTCAAGGTGATTGAATGGGTGGTCGGGGTGGATGGGGCGAACCCACAGATACTTTTGACCCATTACTTCAGTCATTTAAACCAAGCCTTTCCTGGCAGCCACGTCTTGCTTCCCGATGACAGCTCTTGCTCTCCAATTAAAGAAACATGGAGTACCCTGATTAGTTCACCGAGGGTTTGTACTTTAAGCATGTACTAACACTTAGATACCTCAAGGGAACAGGTGCAGGCTGCTGCTTAACAAGGTAATGCAGGTAGCGAGATTCAAGACTGCATGACCGAAGTCAAGTTGCGAAGGGGTGAATGCCTACCCCAAGTCTCAGGCTACTAGCCTAGAAGGGCATGCGGTGGTGCAAGTTGACCAACGCGGAAAAGAGATACGGGAGGTAAAAGGTTTCGCAAAGCCAGGCATATTCACAGTGAGGGCGTCAACCGCCAGCAAGGAGCGTGGGCATGAGTTCTGAAACTTCCACGGGAAGATTGAAGAGGGCGGGGAGGGGGGGCGGTTTATACTGGCGCGAAGCAGTGAGGCTGGGCTGGACTTTCCTCCATCCAGCTCCCGAGGACCGAGGTAGACTGGAGCATCTCGCTCTTGCTGTTTTCCAGCCTCAATGCTCACCCTTCTCGCATTCTCTGTCCTGTTTCTCAGGGGGCCCCTCCTTTTCGGCAAGTGAATATAACTCTCTCCTTGTCGGTCCACTCGCTACCCCTACTTTCGTTGAGTGGTCTTCTAAAGGCAGTGCGCTCCTGATTGGGGTGCATCACGAACGGACTTGAGACCTGCTGCCACTCACGGTTCCAGTCAACGAATCGTGGCTGCGCTGCCTCTGGTGCTTGGTTTTCGCGCTCAGAAATAGGAGTACAGCCGTTTGAAGCAGTGTAGCAGACCAGAATAGCTGGAAAAGGGTCACGCTGATATGCAGGCGCTCTTTAATCAGCGCCTGCAAACCCACCAACCCGAGGGAGTTGCCTCCTGTCTGGAAGAAGTCGGACTCGACGTCAAGCACCCGATGGTCAATAAGGTCTCGTGGAATTACCTCTTTCCAGAGATCCAATAGGGTTTGCTCGATTTCGCTGAGAGACATGGCCTGCCCTGTCTGAGAATCGGTCGATGGTGCCTTGTGCAAAGGGAGTGTATCCACCACATTCCGATCAACCTTGACCGAGTCCGTCTGCGGGAGCTGGCGCACCACACAGACCATGGCCGGACTAATTTACTGCGGAGGTGGACATAAGCGCAGCGGGGAGGGTGGCCGCAAGGCGTTCTGGGTCGGGACTCGGGAGCGGTCTCCGCAGCGGAAAGCACGAACTCACACGAAGAATACGACAAGAAACTCGGCCCCCGTCGTTTCCCGTTTTCCGACTCTTGTAGCCTTTCGGAACTAGTCCAGTCATCTCCCGATCTTACGCTAACAACCCCCTGACGCCACTACTTCATCAATGGTCCCATCTTCCGAACGTGGCCTACCAGAGGCAAGGGTCTCCGGAATCAAGACGAGTTCTCACAGCTACCTACATGTAGGGACGTCCCTATTCCGTACAACTTTTTGGGCGATATCCGCGCAAGCGAGAATATTGAGTGTCCTGCATATGTGGCGTATGCGCCGAGACATTCTCCCACCACTGCAGCAGCAGCCCCTTAATCAGGAAGTGCCCGCAGGTATGAGTGCCTCACTTAGTGGTTGGTAGTTGGTACTACTACTAGTAGCTGGGCGTTCAAACTTTGCACTGCTGGTCTGCAGTCTACACCTCCAAGAGGTATACGGAATCTGTTTGCTCCGTTGCCAGACTTTTGACCGTGGTAAAGTACACGTGTAGCTTTCCAATGGAAGATTGACAGCAAGCTGAGCACAGCCAAAAATAAGAGTCGAGAAAATTCGGTCCTCTTGGCATCACATATTGCCCAGCTTAGGCTATACGCAGGGAACATAGAAGAACCATGGAGCCACTCATCGGAGTTTTGTTGTTTCTAAATCGAGCTCTAATCGATCCGAGCTTACCCGGTCGATGGAATGCTACTACCGTGACATCTTCTACGGTCGTTGTGGGTTATGGTCCGCTTCCATGACGGTAGTAGACATGTTCGTGTTCGGCGGCCGGCCCGCCGATAGGCTGACCTGATCTGGGCTTGGGCACTCGAAGCTGGGAGAAGAGGTATTAAGTATTAGTATAAGGAGCCTGGTGTGTCCCAAGGCCCGGCCGTCAATGCCAACAGTTTCTCAAACGATACTACCAGTCATATTTCCCCTGGATCAGAAAATAGACCGTACGGCACCATGGCATCACAACTCCCCTTCAAGCTCCCTTCCACGCGAGCCCTGCTGCTCGCCGTCTTGTTCACCCTCAGTGCCCACGCCAACCCCATCCCGGGCCCCGACTCCGGAACAACTGAAGAAATCTCCCAATGTGCCACCATCTTATGCATGGCCGGCACCGACTGCAAAGTAATCGACGGCCGCGCCCAATGCATACCCATCAACCCCAAGCCCGAGGTATGCGGCAAAACGGTCTGCGCGGCCGGCCTGATATGCTGCAACGCGTCGTGCGGCATCTGCACCAAGCCCGGCATGATGTGCACCCAGCAAGCTTGCAATGATGACGGTCCCAAGGGGGAGAAATGTGGCTCTGTCTTCTGCAAGCCCGGCACCGAGTGCTGCAACCCGAGTTGTGGTACATGTGTTGCTCCCGGAAAGGGATGCACCAAGCAGCTCTGCCTTCCTGATCCGCCCAAGCAGGAACAGTGTGGCAAGACCGTTTGCCCAGAGGGGTTCGTCTGCTGCAATTCGAGTTGTGGGACTTGCACGCCGCCGGGGGGAGCTTGTACGCAGCAGTTTTGCACGAACTGAGTGCCTTGGAAAGGGATAAGGTTGGGAAATAGGAGAAGAAAAGTTGGGGTGGTAGTCTGTCATGGGGTCAGGGATGTCGTACATTACTAGTACATGTGTCTATACCAGGATGGTCAAAAATGATCTGTGTTTGCTGGATCAAAAGGCGGGTTCGGGAAAAGGTAGAGGACTTCCACTTTCTCGTCAGGGGTAGGACAAGCACGCTGTGCTTGTAGTCAAGCTTCGTTCAAATCGTTCCTCGTGCTGCTCCGCTAGCATGGGAAGTGGTAAAGTACTTGACATCGACCTACTAGGTGTGTGACTGATGGCGGAATGGATCAGCTTCCTCAGCTTGCCTTGGCTTCACTCATAAGTCTTTGATGTGATTCCATAGCCTTCTTTGCGAACCGCCTCAGGTCATCGCCGTACTTCTCCTCAAACCTGCCATCAAACGCTTCAATGCTATGCCAGCCCCTGAACCCCGTGCTCATCACCGCCCGTACAAATTCCTTAATGGGCAAGTACCCTGAGTCGTAACTGTTCGACTGGTTAGCCCTTGACGTAAGGTGAAAACAACGGCCTGAGTGCCGACTGATGTAAACTTACGGCAGCGGTCGATGGTCGTGGCTCCATTGCCCGCGTGGTCTTAGACCTGACTCAGGATCTGGTTCGGTACCCAGCGGCGGATCCATACGGTAGGCGTCGCTGATCTGAAGAAAGTAGATCTTGTCCCCCGGTACTGTAGCCGCCAGCTCCTGCAGACTAGCGGTATAGGCCCCTGACAACTCGTCCGGGTCAACTCCTCCCGTTTCGATTCTGCCCGATTTCGTAGTGGGATTCCCCCACTCGCCTCCCGCGGTTTGAAAAGTGTCGAGACAGAGGCCGATGTTTGGTCGGTTGGCTCGTTTGACAATCTCCCAGACATCCTTCCATGTTGGTGCTCGTGTCGCCCAGCACCAGTTCTCATACGCGAGCCGGAAACCGTGTTCGGCCAACATGTCAGCCAAGGACGCAAGGTCTGCAGCCAGCATGTCGACGTCATCCGTGATGTCAGGTGAGTCGGACGATCCGACTTGTAACATGTCAGTGCCGACGGCCTCCATGATATCGATCCATGCCCTTGCCCGGGCAAACGCATCCTCGCGCTGCTGGCTGCCGTGCGGCCATCCCTCAAAGTTTGAAAATGGTTGGAGGACCAGAATCTTCAAGCCGTGTCCCTCGACCATGGCGCGCAGAGCCTTGCCAGCCTCGCAGAGAGAACCATAGTCGTCCTGGGCAATCTCTCGGCCGAAATGACGACTGGCATAGGACTGAAGGTCGGGAAAGGAGAGCTCGATACCGTCAAAGCCTGCCTCGCGAATGGCTTCGATCTTTTGGTGCAGGGTATGCCGGGGCAGTCCGATCGAGCACGAGGCGAATGCCACAGGAATACGGGACGAACTCTGTACCTGAGATTCCAGCGCCATGATTAATGTATGTGGTATGAGGTGTCTCCTTTTTGGAGAGGGTGAAGTTCTTTTCGAGTTTCACGATCTGATTGATGAACAAACTGGGTCAGGGGTCACGAACCATCACGTCAAAATGAGTTCAACGTCATGATGTCAGTACCCGGTTTACCTCCAATAATCCAACCATTCATCTTACCGTCGAGGAAACTCCCACTCATGCAACCAAGTGGGGCTTGTTAACTGTCGTCAGTACAGCACATGCATTCCAAGTGGTAAAGATACAGTCGAAGTAGATCTACTTTTCCGAACCACCCGCGATCTTTATTGTACAGTACATGCGATAAGTATTTCCGCTCTCCTAAGCTTGAACATCTCACAACTTTAGCTCAGCTACCACGCAGACAAGATCGAGTCCTCAAGCACTATCACAAGATACTAGTAGTTTTGAACTAAGTAGCAGTCGAGCACCATCTGAGTTATCATGGAGGTGAAACAGGCTCGTATCCCATTATACATCCTCGATGCCTGCCAGGTTTAATCTTCCCTTACTGACCGTGAGCATTCAGATTGGCATGATCGGGACGGGCAGCATGGGTGGCATGCTCTCGCTCCTATTCGCCGAGCACAACATCCACACGCACTTTTACGACCCGTCAAAGCAGCATGTCGAGCTGCTGCAATCGCAAGCCAGGGACACCGGCCATACTAACAAAATCACATACCATGCGGACCACAAATCCCTCTGCAACGCGCTTCAGAATGATGATAACAAACCCAAGGTGTTCATGTTCAGCATCCCCCACGGCGGCGCCGCCGACGACAGCATCGACGCCCTGGGCCCCTACCTCAACGCGGGCGACATCATCATGGACGCGTCCAACGAGCACTGGGCAGCCACCGAGCGCCGGCAGAAGCGCCTCGCGCCAAAGGGCGTGCACTACATTGGCATGGGCGTCTCAGGGGGTTACCAGTCGGCACGGCACGGCCCGTCCATCTCGCCAGGGGGCAGCGACGAAGCCCTGGAGGCCGTGTTTCCCTTTCTGCAACAGATCGCTGCCAAGGACGGGAATGGACGACCTTGCGTTGCGAAACTGGGGCCGGGGGGTTGCGGGCACTATGTGAAAATGATCCATAATGGGATCGAGCATGGCATGATGACGGCGCTTTGTGAGGCGTGGGCGGTTATGGACACGGGGCTGGGTCTGAGTTATGACGAAATTGGGTCTGTTTTTGAGGAATGGAACCAAGAAGACGGGCCCATGCGAGGCAATTATCTGGTTGGTATTGGCGCCCAGATTTGCAGGACGAGAGACTCGGAACACGGGAACGATGGTGGTGCCGTGCTCTCCAGGATCCGGGACAAGGTTGTCCAAGATGCGGATGACTCGGAGGGCACCGGGACCTGGGCTGCTGAGGAAGGGATCAGGCTGCATGTCCCACATCCGACCATTGCAGCCTCCCACATCTTCCGAGTCGCCTCAGCCGACGCAGCCAAGCGTGCAGCTGTCAAGGGGGCGGTAGGCGGTCGCATCTTGCCTCGCAAAATCAGTGGCATCACCGACCAAGCCAAATTCATCCGCGACTTGCGCCAGGCGGTTTACGCCTCGTTCCTCATGTCCTTTATGCAAGGACTGCACATCCTGTCCAGGGCAAGCGAGCAACACGAATGGAATCTCGACTTTGTCAACGTCCTGCAGGTCTGGCGCCAGGGCTGTATCATCCAGAGCGACTTCCTTGTCGACCTGCTCGAGAGCGTGTACCGCTCAGGGCAACAAGACAACAATAACCTCCTCGCCAACCTGACCATAGCACATGAGCTGCGGGAGACATATCCCGCGGTCAAGACGGTTGTGCTACGTGCGTTGGAGGCGGACCTCCATGTGCCCGCCCTAAGTGCGAGTCTTGAGTTTTATAAATATTCTGCTTCAACAAGTCTACCCACCAGCTTTGGTATGTATTGATTCCGCAGCAGATTTCACACTGAAACCCCAAATGTGATCCCTCGCTAACGATGTATGTCTGGTCTCCTAGAGGAGGCCGAGCTTGATTACTTCGGCGCACATAATTTCGATCTCAAGGCAGAGGAGCCCGGGAAGCCAGTGAAAGGCAGTCATCACTTTGAATGGAGGCCAGCGAGGGGGATCAAGGAGGAGCAGTAAAGGATCTATATAACATCCACTATATGCTAGTGGATATACGAGGAGGAATTGCAGCTAGCCGTCGAGGACCATAGTGTTACACAAGGGAGGCGCCACTGGGACCCTACCCGTATATTTAGGTAGGTAGATTCCTTGGCCTTCATGTACGCTCTCTTTCTCGGACAACGGACAACCCGCGATTGATCCTTTCGGCCTCTTCTCTCACACATGGTCTATCATCATGGACTGGAGGCGAGACAGGCTCATAGCCCCATATCTATATGCATTTTGAGTTGCCTGATTCAATCCCTCTTGATACTAACCGTGACCACTGACCACACGCATTCAGATTGGCATGATGGTGACAGGCAGCGCCGCAGCTGCGCAGCGTGAATGAGTGGCATGCTCTCGCTCCTGTTCGCCGAAGTGAAGCGGGCCCCTCCGCGCACCTGCAGAGACTTTTCGCCTTGAAGTTGAAACCAATAGACAACCACCACGAAGTAACAAATCCCATCAGCACATCTGCCGCGCGCGTACGCGACCTGAATCGTGTGTCCAACTGTGGCGTTCCAACACTTTGATAAGACCTGAGATTGCACTTTCAATCCAAAGCCATCATACCTACAATTCGAGATGCCTCACATTGCTCACACACCAAGGCCATCATTTTCAAGAAGGCCAGTCATTGCGACTTTCGCCCTGACACACGAGGAAATCAATAATTATATGCCCGCCGGCGACAGGCCGGTCGCTTGTGCCTCGCTCGCCGCACCGCCTCCGCAACCATCAATATCGCCATGCCTGCGACAGACATCCGCCTCCTCGCTCTCGACGGCGGCGGCGTCCGCGGCCTGTCCTCCCTCATGATCCTCCGGTGCCTTATGGCCACCGTCGATCCGGATGACCCGCCTAAGCCCTGCGACTACTTCGACATGATCGGCGGCACCAGCACCGGCGGCCTGATCGCCATCATGCTGGGCCGTCTGGGCATGACCGTCGACGAGTGCATCGATGCATACACTACGCTGTCCGACAGGATATTCGAAAAGAAGACCCATCGCATGACCATCAAAGGCAAGCTCCAGGGGCGATTCGATGGCGCTGAATTGGAGCGTGCAGTCAAGAGTATCGTAGTCAATCGCGGTCTCGACGAGGATGCACTGCTCATGGACCCTGATTCTCCTTGCAAAGTATTCGTCTACGCCACGAGCAAAGAAACTGGCGATACAGTCTGCCTGACCAGCTACCGCTCGCCGCGCGGCGACAACTCCAACCTCCTCAGCAGCACCACGATCTGGCAGGCCTGCCGCGCGACATCAGCCGCGACAACCTTCTTCGACCCAATCGCCATTGGGCCCTTCAACGAACAGTTCGTTGACAGAGCGCTTGGCGCGAACAATCCGGTCTACGCACTGTAGAACCAGGCCCATGGACGTGTGTGGCGATCAGCAGCTACGGGATGGGCTCAAATGCCTCGCTCCATCGGTACGGCCTGCCCGCCCTATAGCCTGTACGCGACGACGTCCTTGGAATCGCAGCTACGCTAAAAAATCTTGCAACGGAAACCAAGAAGACAGCACAACAGTTCCATCGCGACAAGTCGCACCTCGACGATGAAGGACGCTATTACTAGTTCAACGTCGACCACGGGCTCGAGGACATTGGGCTCGAGGAGTCTAAGAAGAAGACGGAGATTGCAGCCGCAACGCGACACTACATTTAGTCGCAGGTTGTCTTCAAGCAGATGAAGGCATATACGAACAATATCGCTAGACAAGTGTGTTAGTTTAGCTATTACAAGTTTTCTAATTAGTATTCTCCGATCGCTTGCTTACTCGCTAGTGCAATCATTAGACTACAGCCTGTACCGAACATTGTTTAGCCTATAGGGTATGCCCGTATCGAATCACTTTGTAGCCCAACCGTTAGTTACCACAAAGCTCGAAGAGCACCTCCTGCCACGGCGTCGCTCAGGAAAGACCCAGCGACAAGTACTTGTCCTCCACGGACTTGGTAGGATCGGGAAGATATTGCTAGCGGTCGACTTTACTCGACAGCACAGGGCCGCTTTCAGCTCGGTCTTCTAGGTAGATGGCCGATCAGAGGACCGGCTGAGGTAGAGCCTTTGCTAGCTATATAGCTAGGATACTGGAAGACTAGGTTTCCAAGAAGAGTAGGAACGCTATATTGCATAGCGATAAGCATCTCTAGGCTACAGTGAGGGACGTATCAAACTAGCTCGCCTAACTGGACAATACTAACTAGCTCCTAATCTTCGACAACGTTGACAAAGACATCAATGAGGGAAGCGAGACTGGCGCCTACAATGTCTAGTGGTATCTGCCCGGCGACCACGGGTCGGTGCTAATTACCGATACAACTGTCTTAGCTGGTAGATTTAGGTGAGCCGACGTACCTGGTGGGCATCAACGAACAACTAGCCGTAGTAATTTTCCAGCAGTGGCGTGGGGTAGAAGGAGGTGAGGTCATACTATATATAAGTTCGGCCTGGTGCTAATAGACAATAAGTAGCTATGGACGAGGCCGGTAGGGAGCTGCTCAGTCTACTTGACGGCCTTCCGCTCGCGCTAGTATAGGCTGCCTCCTATACCCGCGAGACCGGGCTCGATCCTACGACTTATATTCGGCTCTACAAGTAGCAGTGGGACGAGCTTATAGGATCGGACGGGGAGTCAGGCTCACCGCTTCTAGACTACAACCGAAGAAGCGTCGCGACAACGTGGACCGTATCGTTCAAGGCAGCCGAGGCATAGAACAAGGACGCCGCGAACCTGCTCCGTCTCTGGGCCTTTGTCGATGGTAGAGACCTTTGGCACGGCATGCTGCAGGAGGCTGCGCATGGCGCAGAAGAGTGGCCCGGATGGCTATGTAACGTCGTAGGGAATGAGGTCCAGTACTTGGACGCGGTTCGACTGCTGCTCCGGTACTCGTTGATCGAATCTCAGGAATCGGTGCAGGGGAGCCATATGATGCATCCGGTAGTGCATAGATGGGCGTCGCACATGCAGGATGGCGCTGAGAAAAGAGAGTTCCTGCGGCTGGCGGTGATGGTAATTGGGTTATTGGTGCCCGACCCGAGTACGAGCAAGGACCACTGGGTGGTCCAGCGCCGGCTCCTCCCGCATGCAGAAAGGTGCTCATGGTGGATAGTAGAGATATATAAGGCGAAACAAAGCATTGACCACATAGAAGCGATAGGGGCAATGAATTCATTGGGCATTCTCTATGCGAATTAAGACCGGCTGGCGGAGGCCGAGTCGATGTATCAACGGGCGTTGGAAGACTTCAAAAGGACGCTCGGATCTGAACATCTATCGACTCTCCAGATAATTCACAACTTGGGCATTCTCTATAGGGATCAAGGACGGCTGAAGGAGGCCGAGTCGATGTCTTAGCGGGCGCTGGAAGGCTTCGAGGAGGTGCTTGGACGGGAACATACATCAACGCTTAGTACTGTCGGCAACTTGGGCATTCTCTACTACAATCAAGGCCGACTAGTGGAGGCCGAGTCGATGCATTAGCGAGCCCTAGGAGGCAAGGAGAAGGCGCTTGGACGGGACCATCCATCGACGCTCAATACAGTCAACAACTTGGGCAACATCTATAGTGTACAAGGCCGGCTGGAAGAGGCCGAGTCGATATATCAGCGAGCCCTAGAAAGCAAAGAGAAGGCGCTTGGACGGGAACATACATCGACGCTTGATACTGTCCACAACTTGGGTCTTCTTTATCTTGACCAAGGCCGGCTGGCGGAGGCCGAGTCGCTATTACAGCGGGCTCTAGAAGGCGGGGAGAAGGCGCTCGGAAGGGACCATATATCGACACTTATTACGGTCGATAACTTTGGCAACCTCTGCTATGTACAAGGACGGCTGGCAGAGGCTGAGTCGATGTATCAGCGAGCTCTGGAAGGCAAGGAGAAGGCACTCGGACAGGACCATGTATCGACGCTTGATACGGTCCACGGCCTGGGCAACGTCTACTATGTACAAGGCCGAATGGCGGACGCCGAGTCGATGTATCAGCGGGCGCTCTCTGGGATTTGGTCCGTCTTAGGGCCGTCTCATCCGAAAACTAAGTGTATTATCCGGAATCTGGATAGATTGTCGCGTGCCAAAGGTATGTCTAAGATGTGGTAACTACCTTGCTTATTACGTTCACTAACTGTCCGTGTATAGATCGGTCAGCTATAACGGACCTACCACCGCCAAAAGAAACAGCCTGAATCCCATCATCAGCAACCCATCACCAACTCCGAGTCATTACTTCCAACCCGGGCAACACCACCCACCTCGTGCCACGTCGAGTCAAGCACGCTTCAGCGGCCGAGGATTGGACGTTGAACACTTGGAGACTGGACTCTCAGTCGGCTTCAATATTCATGTCATCGCTAGCCCATGGCCACCAGCAGAGAAATGGCAGAGAAAGTTAGGGCAGAAGCCAGAAAAAGAAATCTCGCGGACTTTGGGAGACCAGGATTCATCTTACGATGCAATCGTGGCTGCGTAATAGTTGCCGTTCCGGGTTTAAGCCCGCTGGATGGAAATACACATCTGCGTGTATATGGGTGTGTGTATGTGTGTGTGTGTATGTGCTTGTGTATACATGTACATGTTTCCTTGACTTCTGCGGCGATACTCTTAAAACCAGCCGACACGCAGGACTCGAACTTGCACATAGCGCTGTGGTCAGCGTCCCCGCCACTTGCTTCTCAATCGACCTTGGAAAATTCACCTAGCGTTCCTGAATTTGCCTACAACTTCGGTTGGTATCTTGCAGCAAGGTTTTTTCACAGCCAAATGTGATCCCGCACTGACGATACATGTCTCTCAGAGGAGGCGAGCTTGTTTACTTGGCACACATAATTTCGATCTCAAGGCGGGGAGACCTGGGAAGCCGGGGGAAGGCAGTCATCACTTTGAATGGAGGCCTGCTCTCGGAATCAAGGGGGAGTAGTAAAGGGTCCATCGTTTGTGCTGGTGGACATGAAAGGAGAAGCTGTAGTACAGTCAACGGAGTACGCAAGTATTTGAGCTGTGAGACCTTCAGGTTGTCTCCCACAGATGCCTCCAAGATGATACCTGAAAAATGTGTCAAGTTCTCACAGCTGACTCGACGTCAGGCGGGAGACTTGGGAGTATAGCTGCCAAAGTGTTACTCGAACAGGTGCATAGGGTTTGGCTGCCGAGGTACAGGTTGTGCTTCCATGCCTTTCTTCAAGTCGTGGGAACTTAGAACTTCTGGCGGGAGATCGCCATGTTAGGAGGGGTAGTAGAGGGGATCATTTTCACATATAAAATTTGCCTGCACCAACACATCTCTTTCGATCTCAGTTGGCCGCATGTCCACCTGCCAAGTAGTGCTTTGCGTGGACTGAATCGTTCAAAGCGGAAGGGGCGTGCCATCACAGGCAGAGTCCTCCCTTTGAATTTGGGCCACAGTAAGAAACTCCCCAGTGGGCTACTTATCCCTTAGGAAATTGCTCATTCCTCACTGGCGCTGCCTGAATCATCACCGCTCCCTGCACGTTGCAGCGCCATCTTGCCCTTGCGACCCTTCCCCTTTGCCCCCTTCCCGCGCAGATTACCAGGCACTTCCTTGCGGACCTCCCCATCCTCAAACAAGACCCCAACGTCGGGTCGACGCGCCACCGCCTTCTTCCACAAACTCCTCGGAACCTCACCCGCAGTAATAATCATGCCATTATCGGCGCGGTGCCAGACCAGCGCCGGCTCCGCCTGCAGAGCCGAGCGCAGGTGGATCCACACGCTGACCTCGGCAGCATCTCCGCGAGTCTCGTTAGCGCCGTCGTCTCCCACAGTCACGGGCCGGAACGAGAGATACTCGCTGCCGCCCGGCGCGCGGGTGATTGCGGCCGAGGCCAGCAGGAGCGGGTACCGCTGATACGAGGTCTCGTAGACCACGAATTCCGGTAGTCCCTCGATGTCTGCGGTGAGCCTGTCGCCCACCGGTACGGGGGCGGCGACGGTGTCCCGGTTGGCAAGACTGCTGATCTGCCAGGACGCGGGGTCCGAGTTCTCCTCTGCGCCGGGCCTCGGGCGCAGATCGAGCCGCGGTTTGGTGGCGCTTGCTATGATTCGCTGGACGTCCTCGAGTGTGACGCCCAAGGGGGAGATCCTCGAGTGCGCCAACTGGAGGAAGACGGCGAAAGTCAGTAACACTGGGCATGCATTTCGGACTATAAGCAGGACGTACCACGTCTGCAACGAGTACCCAGCCCTCTGCATCTGCCACGACATACTCCCCGTCATCTCCCTCCTCAACCTCATCTTTCTGGACAGCCCGTTTGACGACAAAGACAAGTGCCTTGGAGATGGTCACGTCCCGGTCCTCGACCACGCTGTAACGGCGTCCCCTACCTGCCTTGCCCTTGAAGCTCATCCCCCGGCTCCGGCCATGGCGGGGCGAGTGCTGGACCATGGCACTCGGGGGCAGGACGCCGCCATGCTCGTCGTTGATGGCAGAGAGGGGAACAGCTACAGCAGCGGCCATTGTTGAGATGGTCGGATGATATGTTCGATATTGACTGAGTAAGCCGGGGTTCTGAAGCGGTAAGCACTTGTACGGGTATGCGAGTGGAATCAGACGTGAGTGAGGGGGAAGCAGAGCAAACGCCCGGTCTGGACAACAAGGGCCCGCCATCCTTACATACCCCCGCGAAGCAGGCTTCGACTTCGAGAAGGTCAGCTAGACCGAGATCGGATCATCGGATGAGCAGCATGGATCACGGCAATGCAGACAAGTGTTCGCCATCCTCGGGCAGAAATGAGCCATACAGCATTGACTAACGCCGTTCAGGCGCCGTTGACCGCTGGTCGTGCAGCCGGCGCATACTCATCGACCTGTGGGTCGCTGCAGCCCGCAGTGGCATTGCAATGTTGGCCCAAAAGGGAGTTGCCATGAGAGGTTTGGCGGTCAACTGGGCAAAAAGGCGCTAGGGAACCGACATCCTTGCTGCTTTCCCATGTGCCATCTGGCTCCACCGGACACCTGACAGCATCCGCGATCCCCACTGTGGCCTGAATGCTAGCACTGCTCAGGGGAGTCAGTCCCCTAGTTAACAAGGGCGTGACGCTCAGCCCAGCGGGAGGTGCGGGCCGAAGCAGCAACTCCAAACGTACAGTACAGCACCATCTCGCTCACCATGAATCTCAGTTTTCCCGGCTCAAACTTCCTGGAAAGAGGCAGAGGTGAGTAAATCGGAATTCTCATGAGCTATCAGGAATGTGATCTAGATCTAGATAGGACAGGGAGCACGTGTGACGTTTCATGGACCATCGACCAAGGCGCCTGGCTGCCTGCAACTGCAAGCCAGCGAAGGGATGACTTGCCGGTGCGGGGAGGCTCACCGCCAATGCGTCTGCTACGTGTTCGACTTCGACCATCCACCTGCCTGCAGCCCGAAGGGTCGCCCAAGCTCGCCTTGATCTTGTTGATCTTATCCTTAATCTTGGCATGATGGCATCTGAGATCGGATCAAGTCCAGGGAGTTGTAAGCTTGCCACCGAAGTTCGATTTGAGCCTAAGGGGCACGCTGCCCTTTTCACGCGCCAGGGTTCTCAAGTTGCCTTCCCTGGATTTTATAAACGCTACCTTTTTCAGGGCATCTTGATCAAAATTGAATGCGAGGATAGTTACATCATGATATTGTCCTTTGAGTATGATTACTCGACATGTAGCCTCTGTAGTCAAGGCTAGTAATCATGGCTGCCGAGCAATAAACACTTCATCAGAATCTCATCTCATCTCATCAGCATCACTTGCTACTTTCTCTCAATCTTAGTGCCTCCCCTTATTAGGCTCATCTGATTGACCCCGTTAGGCACGAACCTGATAATACGGCCAAAATTCCTCTTGGCTCCTGGTATGAGGAGTATGCAGCACTTCTTCAGTTTGTTCGAGTCTGCCACAACATATTGTGAAGCACTCTTTCACTGGATGACTGTGGAGTACCTGCTATTGTGACAAGCAAAAAGTGGGCTTGTGAGTTGACCGTACCTAAGGTGCGATCCAGAATTAAACCATACTGCACAGGAGGATATAAGGAGAAAAACGATAGCTAAGGAGCAGAGCCAGGGGCCTTGATATGTAAGCTTCTAGTCGTAGCGATTTAAAGAGCTAGGCATGGTGAATTGTTCTATTTGTACGTACTCCGTACTAGTCCTTTGTAGAAGGCGCATTGGAGCGAAAAGCGATGTATCCCCTCTATGTAACACGTACGAGGGCAACACATGGCAGTTGGAACTGTTGGACCTTCCTCCTTCCCCTCTTTCCCTCTTCTTTCTCTCTCTCTTTTCAAGTTCTCTGTCTCACTTTTCTCTCGCCACCTTGCAGAACTCCCGTCTACCCAGCATCTTCGTTGCGATGCAATTCACCCCCATCAGCCTGAACGAGACTAACCGACAGATGCCAGGTAGCATCATCCCTCAAGGCTATCTTCAAGCAAGTCACGACCTGCGCCAAGACAGACTCGGATAAGCGATTCCAGTCTTCAAAGTTCAAACCTTCAAAGAATCTCTGAACATACATACGGGAAGGCAACACAGGGTATAAACGTATCGCACCAAGCTGGAGCTTACTCCATAGTCAAATCAACCTGCTCGAGAGTCTAATGAAGAGGGGTAAATCTGGCACCTTTGTACCGTACGTACAGTAAGTCGGGTACCACAGCTCGGGTACCTTAGGTATGATGTATCCCCGGGTCAAGACGGGCGCATTTCGTGCATGAAGGGTCCAATGCAAGTTCTGACTGAGAACAACCTGGAAGTCAACCGCGCCGAATCTTATGTACCTTTTCCGGCTTGCAAAATCTGGTCCCAACTTCCGCCCATCGCTCTGGCACTTCAAAATGCTTTCAACGAATCTGGAAGCTGGTCCTGGATGGTGAAACCTCACGGTCCCCTGTTACCCCACCGAACCCACCTTCCCGCGGGTGACAGTGAGTGATAACAAGACCCCAAGCCTAAGGTAACATGGTCCGTGCGCAGGGATGAGGATAGGTGTTCGTGGTTTGCTCTCCCCGCCGTCTCCCGTCCCTTTTGTGAAAACCCCTTCTACACAGTAAAGCGGAAGGTGGGAGCACCTCACGACAACTCCCGCAAAGTCCCGTCGCAAAGTCGCAAAATCGCAAAGAGTGTGTTTACCTGTCTACTACCGTACGCACACAAGATGCTTTTCTACTGTCACCGACTGCTTCACACCCGGTCCAGATGTGCACCATTCCAATACTTCAGGGGGCAGCTCGGCGTTAATCGGCCAATACCACCCTACGGTCACTCCCTGCATCCACTCATCCACCCGAGTTCCCAGAAAAGTCAGGGGCCTCGAACTACGGCCGGAGACGAAGCCGCATACGCCGCGGCCGGGGCCAAAATCCCCCACGATTCTCTCGCGGCATTGCCCACATGAAAACTGCGATCCCCGCTATAGCCTGGGCAATCCTCAGCATCTGTCCAACTTCACAAATGTTCTAAGCAACTGCTATCCCGACAAGCCGTCGCGCGGCAACAGTCAATGAGTATCGTGAGCGCCGGGGTACTTGATGAGGTTTGGACACGAAGACGGGGATTATCATGGATTGCATGCAAGTCCATTCAACCGCCACCTGCATGCCCACATCTGGACTGACACTCGTCACCTCGTGGCGGCGACAGATCTGTGAACGCAAGCTGCTTTGCAGCGAGTGATGCGATTGTAAGAACATCGCTCGCCCTCAGCGACTTGACGCGAGAAGTGCGCGAATCCCAGCCCGAGCTCAACGCGCTCGAGGCCGAGCTGCGCTCTCTCGACTGCGTCTTTGACCTGCTCAAGGTCAACTTGGGGTCGCTGTCGGCTCCCCTAGCAAAGCAGACCCCCGTTGTCCTTCACACCTGTCTCACCGTGATTGAAGAACTTCACGGGTGCCTGCTCATCATTAACCGGCCCGGGTTGCCTCTGGCGGAGAAAAGGTCACGATGGCTCGCCAGTCGCCGTCAGGTCGGGAGTTTGAGGTGGACACTTGGTATATACAAACTAGTGCTTGGTCTTACGGCAGATTTGGCAACTGTGTACGTGTCAGCCGTCTGGTCAACCTGTCCGGTCAACTGACTTCTCACTTCTTAAATCTAGATCTCAAGAGCGAGACCCGCCAATGGTGAGAGTTCCCGGGCGGCAAACCAAGCGCGGCGGCCCGACAGAAGATGTCTCTGAACGGGAAGTAGTAGTGGCCCGGATTATTGAGCTCAGCAGTGGCCTTCACAAGAGTCTGCAACAAAATGTAGCGCTTGCGAAACTCAAACATTACCTCGACAGCTTGCATGCCGAGGCAGTCGCCAGCACTTACGACCACCCGGAGGCCCAAGCACTAGGTCACCCCCGAGATGGCCGCTCATCATTGAACGAGACCCCCGATAGCGCCATCGACATGAGTTACGACGAGGCGTGTTCGCCAAGAGGAAAACACACAGACCCGAGCCCGCCGGTGGGTGTTGCACTCAGCCCTTTGAAGGAGGCAGCGGACGAGTTCGACGGCGAACTCAACGAAATGCCAATCCAAACACCGCCGGTTCCTCCAAGGTCCGCCTCACGGTTCAGTCCTACGAGCACACGACCAAGCTGGTCCGATCGATACTCTTCCAGCACAGATAGGACATATGATTCTAATTATTCGATGAGCTCTCGTCCCCCAACCGTTTCCCCGACCACACGCGGTCAGCGCCGTCCTTTTCAGGAGGGCTACTTTATCCCCGTGACCCAGCTCGCTACCGAAGCTCGGGATTCCTATTCTGCATCCGACTCGAGCAGCGAATATCAAAGAGGCAGTGGTTTCGGCCCGGTACTGTCCTCAGTGTGGGAGAGTTCCCATGAAGACCTGTCGTCGCCAATGCGTCCAACAAGCGGCTCGCAGTTCGAGAACCGGAAGCATGAAAATATGGACGATGGACGCGCCTTCCAATTACAGCGGAGCAGCTCTAGGTTCTCAAAGGCACTTAGAACTCTCGGTCTCAAGCGCGCATCCTCTGAGCTCGAAATCGGGCATCCGAAGACTGAATCTGAGGTTTTCGGTGTAACCATTACGCAGAGCATGAAGGTGGCAAAGGGCGTCGCCGGTGTCAGGCACGCCGGCAGTGGCAATTCCTCCCACACGACCCGAGCCTACCCCCTTTGCGTTCTCCGGTGCACCTATCACATCCGCGACTGCGGCCTGGGAACCCCCCATCTCTTTGGCATACAAGGCGACCAGCAACGTGTAGCGCAGCTCAAGGAGATCTTCAGCTCGCCCGAGACCAGCTACGGGAAAGAACTGAACTGGTCTCACTTCAGCGTTCATGACGCCGCAGATTTGATTCTGCTATTCCTCTCGGAGCTCCCCAAGCCTCTCGTCTCCGGGTCCATTGGCAAGCGCTGGATAGCGCTCTCCCGGCAAGCTACGGTCCGTGGCTCGCTCGCCATCCGCTTGGACCAGGGCATCGACTTCTGGGAGGAGGCTTTGCTGGGCATCCACGGCCGTGACCGTGATCTTCTCAAGCTGCTGCTCAACGTATGGGCTGACGTCACCGAGGCGGCTGAGCTGAACGACATGACGGCTGAACGCCTGGCCAGTCGTGTCATCAACGCGCTGATGCATCTCACGGCGACGCAGCGCAATCAGACCGACTTTGTGCTTGGCCTGGCTTTTATCATACGCAGACGCTCGGAGGACAACATAGCTGCGAAGGGCGTAAGGCCGGGTCCGGGGAGTAATGGTTTTGTTTAGATTCGTTTTTCAGGGAGTTGGGCGCATTGGAAGGAGTACGACTGTCCGATGTTCCAGTCAAGTACCGTCGTTACTGGGAAATTGGAACTAATAGTAAGGTATTGTTTGCTGGTATTGAGTTGCAAGTTCATTTCCATAATGCTTTCTGAGGAAATGATACCAGGAAGTTTTGGGCGGTAGAAGGTCTCTCACTTTCGGTTGCCCTATGCAAGCGGGGATCAACAATTCCCCTAAACTCTTTGAGTGGTGACGTCGTTGGTCGGTCGCTCAAACGTTCACCCCACCACGCTTTGAAGATGCGTCTACAATTGAACTTTGGGTTCATGTCATACCTACTCTCGCGCTATTTCAGGCCCTTTCACAAACGACTTGAAGCCTTCAGGGGTTTTACTTGACAATTTGTTGCCGCCACATTCGCCGAAATTCTGCAAACCGTCTACTACCGCCTGAACATGTCCCGCTTCACAACAGACTCTACACGTTCTTATCCCAAGATGGGATGGGGCACAGTCATTGTATACGGCGTATGCGCCGGTGCCCTCGGTGTAGCAGCGTAAGTTCCATGCCTGGTCCTGCCTACCACCAGTTGTACTGGCAGACATGGAATGTCTCGCTCAGCTTGCTGACCATACTGCGGACTTGCAGGATGACCATGACGGAAAAGATCGAACAGATCTTCACAGGACGACCGAACTCAGAGGTGCCCGGGAAGACCCTCGCGAGGCTGATCAATGCCACGCCACGAAACGCACAGGAGCTCTGGAACCTCAACATGGCGATGCACTACGGCCAGGGCGCCGTGGCCGCCACGTTCCGCGCGCTCGCGAGCTACTACGGCCTCCGCGGGCCGTTTACGGATTTCATGTTCACCGGGTTGAGGCTGTTGATTGACCAGACGCTGGAGAACTGGACGGGAGTGGGGGCGCCGCCTTGGTAAGTACCTATTTGCATGAACCCGTTTGACTGCAGTGGTGGTCACTGTGACGGGATTGTTGTTGACACAGGACTGATGAACTGCATACAGGACTTGGCCTGTAGGCGAGCAGGTGGTTGACTTGTTGCACAAGGCTGTCTACGCGTTCGTGACTGGCTACTTGACAGATCGCTGGATTTCTTAGGACTGCAGCTGGTTGTCTACCCGGCCGTCATCTTGACTACCTCCATGTATATCACTGTACACGACAGGGAGCTGCCTGAGCAGTGCAACATGATCACTTGTTGTCGATAATACTAACGGTTCATCATTCGCGCCATTGAACTGCTCGTAGCTTTTCGAACCTTCGCCATACCAAGTCATCAACCAGCAAGCTGTGACCTGTAGTCTTCCCAGTCCACGATCGATAGCACGTCCGATATCCTGCCCTGCTCCAGCCAGTAGAAGACATGCTCGGCAAAGAACACGGGCCGTCCGTTCGGGATGCCGCCCTGGTAAGGCCTAACAGGAGTTCCCGTGAACTCAAGCCGTGCTGCCAGCTGTTGCCTGTTCTCATCCACCAGCAAAGTATGTATGTCAAAGCGAAGGCCAGATATAGCATCCATGCTCTCTTGCATCATGTCGCCGTACTGCTGTACCGTGAATCCCGTACCGTTCCACACAACCCCCGACGGGCTGCAGAATCGGTGGAGTTCCCGTGCCATGTTGCCGCTGTTGATGCAGGCAATGTAGTCGGCGTAAAACTGCCTCATGTCGATTGACGATAGGGCTGGAGGTGGCCGACTTGGACTTGGTGGCGGCAAAACTGTCTTGGTTTGGGGACCTGCGCCTTGATTCTGACCTCTCTCTGACATATCATAGACCGCACCAATCTTGTCGTCATGAAAGTGGACGAACATGTGTCGGAAATACTCAGACTGTGCCGGTCTGGCAGCCGACTCGGACAAGACCTCTGGGGCCTCCGGGTCTGTTGCCAGCGTTTCAGTTCTAACGCGGAGTCGGGCGCCTACCAGTGGACTGTCAGCGTTGTCCCCGGACTCCCCGCCGCCGACTAGCGTGACAATCTCGATGGTACTGGTTGGCGTAGGCCCAAACTCGTGCTTCAGAACTGTGGCAAACTCGTCCAGTGGCATGTCACGCTTGTTGTATGACAAGCTGGTCCTCACGACGTCACCCAGAGACTCCCAGCGTTGCAGATTGATAAGGTTAACAAAGGTCCTGAAGCGGCTGGTGTTGTCCATCTGGGCCACCATGTGATGTCCGTCGTTCAATATCGTCAAGTGCGCCCTGGCCTCACAATAGCCCGTGACGTGGTCCCCGACGTGTCTGAGCTCGGCCTGACCTTCACGCGCGATCTCCTTCCGGTGGGGAGGAAGGAAAGCAGAGAGTGATTCTAGAGAATCGGAGTTGGTCCGCTTTGTATGTTTCTCGACGAACGGAGGTTGCTAGAGCGAACTCAAGGCTTAACTTAAACGGCTATTATACGGATATCCAAAGTCTCGTGTCTGGTCGTAGGGGCTGTCATTTGAAAGGCGCCAATATTGTCCCGTGATGCATGTGGGGTAATGCAGAGCAGGACGTCCCCTCTATCGACGAGATGAGGCGGGAGAGGTATAAGTGGGCCGTACTGTACTTAGCTTTCAAACATACCACGCTGAGTGTAAATAAGACCATTGAACATTTATATCCCCGCTACCTGCTACTAGGAAATCGGGTACAGGAAAAGACTGGATGGGCTCTTGGCCCACCCTAGCCCTCTTCACTTGTGATTCTCAATATCGTACTTGAGACTAAAGTCGCGCGTCCTCAGTATTCGACCCATTTTAAGCGATTCTTGGTTCATCTCGCCAAGTATCCCTGAATCGCTGTCGTCGTCATTGCTCGCCTTCACCATGTTCGTGTCGCTGGACATGGGCCCGCTCGAGATTGTCACGACCCGCGAGTTGTGCTTGTTTGAGCTCGAAGCCTGATCCTTGTGATAGCCACTCGATCCGTACGCCTGCTGAGACCCGGTAGCATCGCGTATCATGACTCGGAGCATTGGTATGCTGGCGGCGATTATCGTGACAGTTGTCTCGGCATTGCCCCAAAGCCTGCTCATCGGGCCCAGTCAGTAATTCTTGTTCCTAGAAACCCCAAGTCGGGGGTCGGAGGGGGTGTTCCGAGAGTCCATACCACAGATCGACACCATCGGCTACATATCATTGTTAGTAAGGGGCTAGTAAGCATTGCTGTGGAGGACGGGAGTTGAGCTTACCAAAATCACCGGACAGCATTCTGGGAATCTTGCTGACTTTTACCAGGCCTGTGATGCCAGCGCTACAAACGACGTCAGTTAGCGCCGGGGGTCCATAACATAGTTCTCGAAAAGGGATAGGAAGGTCGACTCACAAAACCCCCATGCTCATGGCAATGCCGACACCAATCCGCTCCTTCTTCTTCATTTGTAAACCCCAAATGAACTGCCAAGGAAGCAAGGCGAGAGCGAAGTCCATGCAGGCCGAGTACACCCCTGAAAAGATATTGTAGTGAGCCGTAACTTCGGGTGCCCAGCACGTCCCCACGACAGTCAGATCCCAGGCCTTTTGCACGGGTGTGCAGTTTACCCAAGGGAACAGGGCGCTGAGGCCCATGGCAATGTTCATGGATACGAGGATGAACCACACTGCCTTCTTGGCCCAGCCGTCGGACAGCTTGAGCAGCGTGATGCCAAAGCTCGTCTTGGACCAGATGGCAGCCGTGACGGAGAAGGTCCCGGCCACGTTGATGAGGACCAGCAGAGGGGCCATGTTCGTGAGGTCGAAGTCCCAGATATGAAGGCCATACCCTAGATTGGTGCATGCCGTGAGCATGGCCGACTCCACCGTGATGCAGAGCTGAATTATCTCCTGTCAGCTGATAAAGAATTCAAACGGAATGCCCACCGCCTTACCCAAGCCGCGATGAGAAATGCATCGTCCCACCAAAGCCCCTTTCGGCGGAGAAGCCTGCAATAAATGCGGAGGCCAAGGACAAGGCCGGAAACTCCCGTCAGAGCCCAAACGATAGCGTTGAGTTTGGGTCCGGCATTGTCATGAGGCAGAGCCGCTAGCTCCTCTGGTGTGGGTGCTACTGGGGCTGCGTACTGGTCAGGCTTGGTATCGGACGCCATCAAGGCTGGCCTTATTGATGCGTAACTGGGCGCTCATGAAGTAGACCGGAAAGGAAGTGTTGTCGACTGTTGCAAAGCGGACCCAATGAGACACGGAGCGGGCATTGCTCCAGCATAAGTATTGCGTATCCATGTCTGGGTCTAGATCTCAGTGTTGGATCAGGTCGATATCCGAGACTCGGCAAACCATTCCGAAGAAGTTAGTGAGGGCTCGCAAAGAGGAGGAACAACAGCGCTAGTAAACCGTCCCGCGTCTAAGGGTCAAAGCACTTGCAGGCCCAAACCCTACATGTGTGTGACTCGTAAGCATGAGCACAAACATCTGGGCCACGGACGCCGCGCTGTAACCTATAGCCCCTCTTTCTTGAATCGATTTGCAGCAAGTCGTTGGTTGTATGTACGTGATGTGATGTAGGGAGTAGGGACTGGTAGCAAAGTGTGCCTGTTATCCAGAGGCCACAGGCAGGATAAGGTATCCAAGCACCCGTTCGCCTCCTCCCGGGCCGTGCGGCACTGGATTCCAGGTTGCCATCCACCCGAGTCACTTAGCCGAGCGAAACTTGAAGTCTAGGCGCTGTACTGAAAGGATAGACGTGTTTCCGTCGTTCATAATTGCTCGAGATCGCATAGCTTGACCGGGGCCCCCAAGGAACTGTCAGACGAGCATGGCGGGCCTGTTGCGGCAGGGCTGTCCTCGCCACTTTTCAGGGTCTCAACTGTCAAAGTTGTCAGAGGCAGCCCTAAGGATCCGATCCAAGAGGCCAAGGACACGCCGGGGAGCGCGGCATTGCATGAGCACAGACAAGTGGTTGCGGTTGGCACCCAATCTTGAATAGCGAACTCAGATTGCCGTGGAGCATCTCATGAGCGACACCAGGATGAATTGGGACAAGCATCCGAAATCCCGATCCAGCAGCTCCGTTTGATGCTGACAACGCTAGTGTACAAGTGTACACTTTAAAGCCGAACTAGTGGGCGAGACACATCTTTCGCAGAGGCCCGAGCAACTGCGAAAGTCTGTGCGAGGTAAACGGGAAGGGACATAGGACTGAGAATTTTCGGGACGGAAGCTGTCAACCTAATCAGCCAACAGACATCGCACCATCTCAAGCTATAAAGTACCGGTACTCCGTAATCCGTACAGTACTGTACACCTGAATTGGATCGGGCCACTGGCAGGCTCTCTCCTTACTGCAGCGGCAAGACCGCAATTCTGAAAGGCCATAGGTATACTCCGTACATACTGTTGGAAAGTGCAACGTTATACCGCTAGGCCAAAAGCTTGGGCGCCCTCTTATTCTTAATTGAGCTTTCGCACTTCCCCTATTTCCAACACATACCGACTGGTATCGGTGTGACCGCCTTTACTCACGGTACTCCATACCCAGTTGAGAAATTCGGTTGTGGCTTGTCCCCTTTCCTCACGCAAGGCACGACCGCTGCCATCCTTCCCCGTCCATCGCTCCTACCTACCATCGTCCCGTCGGTCTGCGGGGTTTTTCCAATGAGGTGAATGCCCGGTTCCACCGGCCGCTGGTGTGTCGTGCGGGGCGGTTAATTGTAGGTCCGTGCCCACAGCACGTGAAGGACCCCACATTTCGACTTCCGATATGCTCTCATTTTCCGTCCCTCGCCGACTGTGAGCAATCGTCCGTTATTCAGGTACCTAGGTATTCTAGGAGACTACCGTGACTACCACAACTCGTTCCTCGTTCTCTGATTGAGGAAACTCCCGAGTGTCAAGGAGATTTTGGTCATCGTCCGCGTATGTATGTACAAGTACATACACATGCATACAGTACTGTACATAGTACTAAATTTATGTACTGTATGTACGGAGTACCATAGCGCCCCGCCGCACTCTTGGAAAATGATCTTGGGGACCAGTTTCCAGGGGTAGGACAGTCTTCGGTACAAAACGCTCACACGATCAATTTGGGACAAGAACCACT